TTTCTATTCAGTTGCTGCGTCTGTTGGGTTGAGTTATGGCCCTTCGTTCCAGGGATTGAAAGAGATCAATGTTGGCGAAAGCAGGTGCGCTTGGAGAATGCAGATTCCGGATACTCAAAAGACAATGCCGTCGGGAATTGAAAGTTCTCACATCATCCACCCGACCACGCTCGACATTGTATTCCATTCCTTATTCGCAGCTATAGGCAATGGCAAATTGGATATGCAGAATGCGGCGGTGCCCATCGGTATTGAGAATCTCACGATTGCCATGGATCTTCCCTCTGGTGGGAACACATATCTCAAAGGTTTCTCCGAAGTATCAAAAGATACGGATCGTGATTTTGTCGCAGATATTTTTGCTGCAGGGGAGCAAGCTGATACACCAAGCATTGTGATTCAAGGTCTCCGTTGTCGAGAACTTCCGAATGACAAGGCGACAGCTACGTCGTCAAGGGCTGTCAAGGCACCTATTGGTCATGTCGCCTACAAAGTTGACATCGATCTGCTAGATGCTAGGGAGCTCGCCGAGCATATCATGAAACAAGAATCAACGGAAATTCTTGGCTCTGACGAAGAGCTTTCGGAGAACGTAGTAGGCATCGATTCTGCCATTGTCAAGGTATGTGAATCAGACTTGTATTTAGAATTTACTGACATCCAGACAGATTGTTGATCTCGTAGCGCATAATAAGCCTAACGCATCTATGATGCAAGTCGGCTCCGTTACATTTGAACTAACCTCCAAGCTGGTATCCATACTAGAGGCGGATAAGCCGAGATCTAAACGCTTGAAGAGTATTCGCTTCTTCGACAGTGACCAGCAGATTCTCGACGATCTAGCTGCTACTTATGACAAGCTAAAATCAAGAGTGGAATTCATTCATATCGACTCTGTACATGGGACTCCAGCTTGGGGGATCAAAGATAGCTCAATCGATCTTGCCATCGTTAGTTCTCAAGGGCTATCTGAACAAGAATGGAATCAACGAATCTCGCAAATTGCTCCATTAATGAAACCATATGGAAAGCTGCTAGTGATTGGATCTACTGAGAAAGCTGCTTCAATGTAAGCGTCGTGCTACGTTTTGGTTATCTGATTACTGATTTCTTTCAGGGGTGCCGCCGGCTTTTCTCTAGACGTGCTTCTCCAGGGCAGTACAGACGCCTTGCTGGAGCAGTGCGCATTATTTATTGCGACTCAACCACTCATCAAGAGCCAAATTGACGGTACTTCTGGAATTGTGGCCATCCTACCTTCTGACAAATCAGAATCTATCATAGCAATTGCTTCAGACCTTCAGGCTATTGCCAATGACAAAGGTGTTCCCTTTCGAAGCGTGGCATGGCCACAACCGATTCCAAGCTTAGAGGAGCCTACGACTATCATTTCGCTACTAGAATGGGGCAAATCATTAATCACCGACCTATCGGAAGCTGAATACGAAACTCTCAAGACGATTGCACTGGCTGGGAAGCGGCTACTCTGGGTTGCAAAGGGCAGTGATCCAATTATGCAGACTGCGACAGGTTTCATACGGTCATTAAGCAACGAAAATGTTGGAGTCGATTACTGTTTTCTTCACCTTGAAGAAAACTTGACTCGTGACACGTACAGTGTCGCAAAGTTGATTGCGCGGCTCGTCACTGCTAATGAAATTGAAAAGGAATACATTGAGAGAAACGGAGAGATATGTTGTAGCCGATGGATAGAAAATCGAGAACTCACTAATCTCGTTGGTGCGAACGGAAACGCCTCTTATCCCACATCAATCACTCTGAGGGAAGCGCATTGCAATCTTGTGCTTACTGAACACCAAAGCGAACATCTCTTTGCTCCCCACGATCCGGAGAGGCTCACGCTGTCGGCGAAAGAAGTAGAGATCGATGTTAGATCATTGCTTTTAACGTGAGTGAAGGCAACTATCTATCAATTCTTCTTCTGCTAACACCGCTTAGTAAAGGTACCGGGAGGACTGTGCAGAAAGATTGGCGGGAGGGGGCTGGCATAGTAACGGCAATCAGTCCGACCTGCAATCTTTCTTTGGGATCATATGTATCATTTGCATATCTCGGGCCCATATCGACGAAAATAAAGATTCAAGAGCAATATTGCCAAATTCTTTCTCCGGACATCGAAGTGCAAGCGGCACCTCTTCACTCGATTTCAATCCCGGCTGCTCATCACCTATGTACACTTGCGCAGCTAGATAGCAAGAAAACATTGCTCATTCACGGTGGCGGAAGTGTCATAGGTCAGACCGCTGCGGCACTTGCTAAAGAGCACGGTGCTGTTATCTACGCATCAGTCAGAGGTGAGGAAGAAAGGCTTCTGTTCCAAGAAATGGGTATTCCTTCGGACCACTTACTGGATGAGAACGAATTCTATCAGTCGAGTACTCTAATGAGCCTAACCAACGGCCATGGATTTGATGCTGTTTTCAACATCAGTGGGGGGGAAGAAGCTATCTCTCAAATCTGGCCCTGTGTTTCTCCAAACGGAAGGTTCATCGACACAAGCAACAATAATGCATCCACCAGCTTTAACTTAAGCATCAAACCATTCAAACTCGGAGCTTCGTTCGATGTGGTCAACATGCAGGAATACTTGACCAACAATTTTGACTTATACAATCAAATTCGTGCGGAGACAATTTATTTTTTGGACAACAGTTCAATGAATTTCACACCCAAGCTTCCAATATTTACGGCCGATAAGGTTCACGAAGCTTTGGAGTCCATCAACAACCCGTCTGGACCAGGTAAAGCGATGTTACTATTTCAACCAGAAACCGCAGTTCCGATCGTTCCGGAAGTGAAGAACCAGCTTCGTTTGCGGCCGGATGCAACCTATGTGCTCGCGGGCGGCCTCGGTGGCCTCGGTCGGAGCCTCGCCAAGCTCATGGTCGATTCCGGAGCGAAGTATCTTGTTTTCCTATCTCGTTCCGGGCCAGGATCGAAGGCATCTCAAGGCATTATGGAGGAGTTTTGTCCCCGAGGTGTTGTTTGTCAATTTTCCAGCTGTGACGTATCAGATAAGGAGAGTGTGTCGAGCGCTTTCACCACAATAAGTACAAACGCGTCGTGGCCACCGATTCGGGGAATCATCCAGAGTGCTGCAGTACTTCGCGATTCCATTTTTGAGAACATGACACATTCCCAGTGGATGGAGGCTATCAGGCCCAAAATCCAAGGCACGTGGAACCTGCATTGTGCTTCGCTGTCTGAGCCATGCGCAAAGGGAGGTCTTGACTTTTTTGTTATGCTAGCTTCAATATCAGGCTTCGTCGGTAACCGTGGTCAGGCAAACTACGCTGCCGGAAATAGCTACCAAGATGCTCTGGCCAGATATCGAAGATCACTGGGCCTGGCAGCGACCAGCGTCAATCTTGGTCTCATGCAAGACATTGGATTGATCGCCGAACGAGGAGGCCAATCCAATCTGAACGATGATACTGTTGTTCCATTGACCGCCAAAGACTTCAACCTCATCTTTAAACTAGCTATGAACAGCGAAGGCCACAACGTTCCGGCCCAAATCATTACGGGTCTTCCTACCGGAGGAATACTTCAGGACCAGGATATTGAAACCAAGCCTTTCTACTATCGAGATCGACGTTTTGCATATCTAGAAACTCTTGGCGTTGATGAATCTCGTTACAGCAACGCAAATGGGGCGGATAAAAGGGTGCCTATCGAAGAGCAACTCGCTGTCGCAACAACGAGAGAACAGGCCACAGCGGTAGTGCTGAATGCCTTGCGAGAACAAGTGGCAAAAGCGCTTCGTTGTTCCGCGGATGATGTTGACACGGCAAAGTCGATGCATACATATGGGATGGACTCGCTTATGGCCGTAGACATGCGCGGCTGGGTGCTAACCAAACTCAAGGCCGAGATTTCACTATTTGATGTAATGAGTGGCAGCAGTATAGGTGTACTGGCCGAGAAGATATCAAAGGCAAGCAAGTTGGTGCGTGCCGACCTTGGATGAAGGCATCAATAGATCTCAGGGCTGGCCGATGTGGGCAAGGGAACTAGATCTGTAGGACATCAGCGATCGGCAACTTCGTTAGCTCCTAACCCTCGATACCTATGCACAAATATACAATAGACGACCATTACACCTGAACCCGTGTTTGACCAGGTCGATGATCTCATTGAGTGGTGTCAGTGGCTCGGAGTTCTGTCTACTAATTCGACGGCACCGGGCATAAGTGTACTACCACGCTCCCCCGTGGTCATTGGACCCGAGGGTTTTCAAAAGAACATCTCCAATCGCACGCGAAAGCCAAGAAAGAAGTTCACGTGGTGACACATATTACACTCACAGGTTTGTAAGGTAAAGAAAGTGGGAATAGTCAATAAGTAATTTTTGCATTTAAAGTGACCTAAGTCATGAAGGAAGAATATGTTCCCAGTCTATATAATATTTATGCTCAGTGGTAAACCTCGACAACCATCCATCAGTTGCTTTCACCACGCGCATTGCTCTATGTACCGACCAATGAACCCTCGGCCGACCAAAACCAAATGCGCCCCTTGATACCACAGCTTGTTACTGCTCCGGTCTTGCTCAGAGCTCAGTAGCCTAGTAAATCAACCTCTATACCTATAAACCACCAGCGGGCCAACCAATCCAAGTGAAAGAAAGGGAGAAAACATAAACACATGACTGCTAGTGAATCGGTTTCGGGGGCATTGAACCGTTATTAGATTAGACAAGATTGATACAAGAAACAAAAGAGTGGTATTTTCTACGCCGATTTTGTAGTCACTGGTCCACCGGTGGTGGGGAAAGCGATCGGTGTGGTCAGAGCATACAAGTTGAACTGCTTCGCACCACCGCACATGTTCGCCTTGCCAGTCGTCACCGACACGACTCCGTTGGTGGTGAAGGTGCTGACACTACCGTAGCAATAGTCCGTGCATGCCTTAGTGCCAATCAAGCTAGTCACGGCGCTGCCTTGGAAGTTAAGGCTTGAGCCACCGTAGCACTCGTGATGATATTCCACGTAGACATACGGCATCTGGGTAGTCGGCGTTGGGGAATTGTCATACAGAGACTTGGCGTACGCGAGACACAGCTCGGGAGTCACGCTGTTGTTGGCGAAAAGCTGAGGGAGTGCATGGCCGCTGCTCGTATCAGAGTAGCAACCCAGGTGATAGTAGCCATTAGTAGCGGTGGCAGTTGGTCCAGTCGATGTCGAAGATGAGGACGAGGAAGAAGAGCTTGATGTCGGCGAGGCGGATGTGCTAGCTGGGCCTGTAGACGTAGATGAAGACGATAGCAGCGATGAAGAAGGCGAAGAAGAGGAAGAGGATGATAACGATGATGAGGTAGACGAAGAAGTCGACGACGACGACGATGAAAGCACCGAAGACGAGGACGAAGAGCTTGAAGCGATGCTGGAACTGCTAGATGAAGTGCTCGACGAGCTGGACGACAGGCTGGACGAGGAACTAGACAATGTAGAAGTGCTCGAGCTCACGACTGACGAGCTTGAGCTGGATAGAAGACTAGAAGAGCTTGAGCTCGTGCTTGTAGGAATATCAGTCGATGACGACGCTAGAAGGCTTGAAGTTGAGCTCGTCACAGCCAGGCTAGATGAACTCGTGCTTGTGATAATGCTGCTCGAGGACGAAGAAATCAAGGAGCTACTGCTGCTGCTCGAGACCACACTGGACGAGGTTGAGCCAACTAGCGAGCTTGAAGACAGCGATGATGACGATAATACAAGACTGCTAGATGATGACACTGAGCTGCTCGAAACCGTCGAACTAGTTGAAAGAACCGACGACGAAGTTGACGTCTGTAGGGAGTATGTATAAAGATCCAAACGGCTTCCAGCACCGCAGTATTGCAGTGTGTTGTTCTTGCAAAGGGTGCTGCAATCACTGGTGGACGTGAGATTGACTCCAGTGCCCAAGGTATTGCCACAGTAGCACTCGCGTCCGTACTCGACGCCCATGTACTGAGTGCCCTTTCCTGCGCAGAAGGCCGCGCATGTGTCAACTGACATCGAGTCGCTGGCATAATTAGCCACCGCCAGTGCCCGCCCTGTTGTTGCTTCTGTGTAGCAGCCCAACCAGGCGTAATTGCCAGATCGGGCCACGTGGCTCGGTGACGGGGGAGGAGCATTATAGACTGTATTGTTGTAAACAGACAGACGGCTGCCAGCACCGCAGAGCTCGGCACTGTTGGCGGCACACTTCGTCGAGCAGTCTGACTCGGTCGCCCGGAGGGTCGTGTCGAGTGTGTAGCCACAGTAACACTCTCGTCCGTATTCTGTACCGAAGAAGTTGTAGGCGGAACAGTAGGTGGCGCAGGACTCAAGTGTCATGGTATCGGCAGCGGTGTTCTTGGTGGATAGACTGCGAACATTGTTGACATTGTCCTTGTAGCAACCGATGTAGTTCCACTGGCCGTTGACAACGGCTGGCTCATTGGGGTTCAATGGAGAGCCGGTCGATGTGCTTGTCGCCGCAGTGGTGGTAGTAGTAGATCCAGTAGCCGTTCCGGTGGCGAGCATAGTTGTCGTAGTCTTCGTAGTGGAGCTGCTGGTGCCAGCCAGGAATGCCGCAATATCGAACTTGGTTATGTCAGCATACATGCTAAGATATCCGCCATCGCCGCCACATGACTGGGTGTTGTTTCCAGTGCAAGAGAATGTGCAGTGGTTTGCAGAATCTGGTGTGAGCGATGATGGCTGCTTAATCGCGTTACCACACCAACACTCCTTGGAGTACTCTGTACCAGCAATGGCATACCCGGCGTTCATGCACAATGTTTGGCACTGATCATTCGAGTTAGTTGTTTGCTGGGCAGCAGTGTTAATCTGAGTCTGCAGGTTTCGTCCGTTGGTGTCTGCGAAGCAGCCAACCCACTGGTATCGAGCTGTGCCATTGGCTAATAGAGGGCCAATCTGCGCAGAGACAATTGTGACATCAGTCTGGACTTCATGGACACCGAATGGCTGGCTACGGTCGAGGTTGCTCAAGCCATCAGTGTTGAGGACCCAAACGAGTGAGATGTATTGGGATGGGTGATTAAGCTGGATAGGGGCGGCATAAACAGCGACCGACCCATTAGCGCAAGCACCCACATCAATCTTTTGACCCTCTAGCAACTCGCCGTATGGGCTGACGGCCGTGAGCTGTGCAGAGGAAGGCGGCTTAGACTTGGTGATGGTTAAGACTGATCCACCGACATTGCAAATCTGAATCTTCTTAATCACGGTTTGGCCGGCAAGAACGTTGCCAAAAGCCATGTGAGTCGGCTCGCTATAATCCCAGCCGCCTTCAAGAGTCGAGACAGCAATGGTCGCAATCGGCGGGTTACCGACGGAAGCGGCAAGAAGGATTGAGTCTTGGCCACCATCGGACCAGAGCATGAGATTCAAAGAGTACGTGCCGATGGTCGTCGAGTTGAACAGCAATGGAACGGCAATAGTCTCACCAGCTGCAAGTTGAGAGCCTGGCTTGGGGAATGAGGAGGAAGTAAAACCCAGACCGAAAACTGCGCCCTCGTCGGTGAATGTCAGGTTGTGCCATTCTCCGGTTGTGTCGGTGCCGAGTTGCCAGGCCATGCCCGTGAATGTTAGGGCGCGGCTGCCAATGTTAGCAATGCTAGCAGAGCCTGTCAAACCCGCTGCCGCATCATCGCTTCCGAGGACGAGACCACCGAAGTCAACTTCGCTGGGATTCATCCACAAGTACGGGTCTGCACTGACGACAGTTCCGGTCAATGACAAGGGCGTGGTATCAGTGTATCCAGTCACACCGTTGGTGGTGATGAGACTCAACACGCCGCTCTCGACGCCAGGAAGAACTTTGGCATAACTGGTACCTTCAGCATCCTCAATAGACTTCTCTGTCAGGTTCCAGGTCACCGGGAAGGTGAATGTCGCACCCGCCGCCAGAGCGCCTTGAGGCAGCGATGAGTTCGAGCACTGGAAGAGCGCATCGCTGGTAACGCAGCCCTTTACTTTAGTAATGGCGATATTCGCCTTGCAAGAGATAGTGGCAGTCTTTGTATCGCCAGTCTGAACAGAGCCGAAGTCCACTGGTGTAGTGCAGTTGAGCGGGAGGTTGACAGGGTAGCCCAAACAGTAGATCTTGTTGCTCGCAGTGACAAATACCTTGCCGCTGCCGAAGACAGGTCGCTGATACTTATTGATGCCAGGTGTCGCCGGCAGCGTGATTGCCTCCAATACTCCAGCGGAGTTGGGGACCGCCTTGAAAGCCAAAAGACCAGAGTTGACATCGGTCACCCACAAAATGCCTGTGCCCGCGATTCCATTGTAGGAAGTGACAGTCGGCTGTCCCACACCTGCACGACCAGCCGAGTTTGTCGCTGTTTTACCGGCAAGAGTGAAGAACGGAGCACCAGAGGAATCGGTGCCGAACTTGTAAGCATAAGTGGGCAGACCTACGGGAGTGAAGTAGATGTACCCGCCCTCGAGAGGATAGCTACCAGCACCACCAAACACAGAGTTTCCGGCTGTGATTGTCTGAATGATGTTGTCCGTTCCACCAGAACCTTGTTTGAAACCTCCAAGGTTATCCGCGTTCGTGATGTATACTTTGCCGTTCTTTCCAACGGTAACAGCCATACGATTGATGGTACTGGTCCTGAAGGTGGTTGCATCCAACAAAGCTGTTCCGGAAGAACCCAAATCCTTGTCCTGGGCGTCCATTTGAACGTAATCATACGGCTCGAAGTAATCAGTCAAGGAGAAGACACCTGTCGACGACACAGCAAAGTTTGCAATACACTCATCCAGAGTTGTCAAGGGAAGACGACCACTGGCAGGCACATCTCCGTTTGCATGACCTTGACCGTTACCAGTGGTGACAAAGATCCGGTTACCATCGGTGGCAAGACCCATACCACTCTGCCAGATTCCGGCTTTGCCTCCCTTCTCGCTGGTGATGTCTGTGGGGTTTGGTGATGGAGCGCCAGGAGCCTGTTCCATGGCGTAAATGCTGACGACACCAACGTTAGGCGTCTTGCTGACCGACACGATCATTCCTGTAAAATTAAACAGATCACAATGACCTCCGAAAGCCCCAACAATGACGCCATTCAGAGATGTTAGGGCGGGTCGTTGCATGATCGTGCCTCCGATGAAGTACTTAGCAGGGTCGTTGTCGGCACGATGCCCATCAATAATAACAGGGAAGCCAGGAGCATCTGTCAAGGCGGGCAGCTGGAGTGCATGTAGCTTATATTCACCTGTCAATTGCATTAGAATAGTGTAATAGGGCTTCATGGCCTGATTTCATTTACCATTAGCAACGCCACCAGAAGCGGCACCATTCTTGTAACCCTTTGCGAACATGTAACTTGTGGCCGATTAGTGAGTGAACGGAAGCAACTTTCTTCACAATACTTACATGATATCAGTAGCAGGGTCAATGATTGGCGTTCCCATGACACCGATGTAGTCTGGGACATCGTTGCAACCAATGTCTGACTGGAGAAACGGAGGGTGCAGCGTTCTCGAGGTAATAAGCGTTCCAGTCTTCGCATCGTGTATTCGCACATTGTTCTCGTTCGATGCTGTGATGAGCATTTCGGACCCTCCATTCTGAGTGTACACCAACGGCTTGGCGAACCACTGCTCCTTGCTGTCTGTCATCTGCTGCTTCCACAAGATACCAAAGCTTGAACCGCCGACGACATTGGGGTCCATAGGATGATTAGAAAGATACCCGGATTGGGCCAGGTCCTATGATACATCTTAGCCACGGCGTTCTTCGACGACAACAGAGATACCCAGGCGGTCTTACAGCATCCATGATAGAGTCCGTCGAGGCATACGACCTGACAAGCGCTGGCAGCAAGGCCAACGCACCCAAAGTACCCCACATCCTGAGCTGGTCCGGCAGATCCAAGCAGGAAAACCCACGAGTGAACGAATGTAGTGTCGACGAGCAAACGCCGGAGCGGAACGAAGGAGAAAAGAAGCCAAGAACGATATGATGTGCCTTATGGGGCAGGGGGCCAAGAGATATACGCAGCGAAAGACAAAAAACGAGTGACAAGAGTTGGCTCAAGACCCAATAGTCTGGGTCAAGCGCGAAATCAAAGAACGAATGGTCGCATTCCCATCATACCCGCTCGGGACTCGATCAGCTCTCCTTCTGGATCTGCACAGCGGTGGAGACTCCACGCGGGTGTGCCGCCGGAGGTCTAGATGGGCAATAGGTGATGATCTGGGAGGTGCGAGAGCGCGCCAACAGAGGCGATGGGAAAGCAGCCCTACAAGTACATCGTGCTCCATCCTCCTGCCATTATTGGGATCTAGCGAGGTGGACTGCATGCGAAGTGGCGTTGGCCAACCTGGACTGATGGTGCCAGGATAGGCCCTTGCGCCGCATGCACCACAGACACCCCTGACTTCTTTTGTCTTCTCGAGTCCAAAAAGGCCATGCTGGGTCAGGGGTATCAATGCAGCCAACCTGTCATTTGGCGTTTTCCTGCCAGGTGCACTGAGAAGCGCACAGGGGATGCAGCGCCGTGGCTGCAACCACAAACGGCCATGGAAGATGCTTGGAATCAGACGTCTGAATATTTGCTCCAGCCGTGTTCAGGCTCCATCACAACTTGAACGCAGAAGTGCACAAACCGCGTCCTTCTGCCTGCACTGGACTCTGCTAATCAGACACATAATCGATGAAACACTCAGCTCGTGCCACTAGACATTGCCGGTCTACACGTGGACTGGCTAAGGGCGTCAGCTCGGGAGCTGAAAGACACCATGAGACATATTGAGACGGGCGAGCATCAAGCTTACTTGGCACTATTGCTTTCGGTCTTCTCGTGCGGAGCCTCCGCCTTATTCTAGACGGCATGCTAAAAAAGCGCGGTGAAGGGTGCGTGCTGCTAGGCCATGCGGGGTAAGGACTGAGAGGTGCAGAAGCAACTGGCCGCAGAGGAGTTGATAACTTGGTGATAGAAATTTCGCTCAATCTTCGCCGTTGATGTGCGCGCCGGTCAATCTCCATCATCGTGCCAGCTGGAAGCGATGGACAGGAACAGACGACGCATGCCTGACCCATTTGCAGTGACACATTCGAGGATATGCAAAGCCGACAAGTCTTAGGCACGAGGACATGGGGTGCATTTCTTGCATGCGAACCAGTCTTTGGACAATATCTGCCTCCATCAAACAGTCTTGGACCTTCTCACTCGGGCAAGTGAAGTGCTGTAAGCGGCGCAGAAGAGCCGTTGGAAACGCAGGAGTGGGTGCAACCAGGTTCTGCTGGCCCTGTCGCAGCTGCACTAATATTAGAAAGACGGTAGGATGGGAATTTGGCTGAGAGGAGGGCATCCAATTTCAGAAACCCAGACACAAAAGCTGTCGAGTCCTCATCAACCCGGCTAGAACGGATGTGTGACTGACACCACCAACAAGAGTGTCTTCTCGCTGTCTCGGCACACTCGCAATCGTGGCTCTTCAAGGACAACGGCAAATCTCCCATGCGTCGCCTAGGATGATGCCTATCGTAGACGAGGAGGTGGGCGTCTGCGAAGAAGCCTCCTCCTCCAATCTGGCTTGCCCAATGCTCCACCCCCTCTGCGCCACGGACACGGGAAATTTGGTCCAAGTCACCCCTGTCTGTGCCCCTGGCTACTGCTTGCTATTGACCCGAGGAACAGCAAGCTTCCTTAGGCTAGCACCTCGTAGTGCGATTGGATCCTCCGTTGCGGCACCAACCCTGATCTGGCCAAAGCCGCGCTCTTTTGCTGCAAGCTAAGTGTAAATGGGTGTGTTGCACACCAACGGGTTTGTCAACAGCAGTGTGCTGCATGTACTCCCGTATTTGTGGTGATGTGCAATGGAAGAAGACTGCGAAGACTGCAGGTGTCTTAGCAAACTCGCACATTGGAACATGTCTAGAAGTGAGGAGTTGTTTCTGAGCTCGGTAAGTCAATTTGCTTGACTGCTTTTTCAAGTAATCACTGTATTCCTTTTTGTCCAAGTCTCGATCCACTCCATTGATGCACCTAGTGGCTCCGCTTTCAGTGAATGAAGAGCCCAGTCTGGACGCTGGAACCCCCAGGCAAACAGGCAAACGGTGCGTTTCATTCCGCCACGTGGTAAGCCTCTATGATCATGACCAGGCAGCAGATTTTGATTCTCGTCAATACCTTTCTAATGCTGACAGGACAAAAGGCTCTTCAGTCCGGAAACGAAGATATCGCTCGAAAAAGAGAGATAGACCCCCTATCTATCGTTCGATGTGGTGACGCGGCCTAATCAAAAGACGGCGCCCAGGAGATCGTGGCTTGACCAGGGGTCATACCTGTGGCTGCCACGATCGATCCAGCACGCCAAGCTCAGACTCCCTCCCAATATTGAGATGTCGGCATGACACCGAACTGACTTTTGAAGAAGAAAACAGAAATGACGGGGCACCATACACAAGATCCTTCTGAGACACTTCAAGAAGGCATTGCCTTGATGCCCATCGGCAGAGCTCGACTAGCGCGTAGCACCAAATCTAGGTCCAGGCACTATTGTCCTTCGCGTCTACACTATTGCCCCTCTCGGAGAGATCGTGTTGTACCAGTCACCAAGCCGCTGGAAACAGCTACACTAGACCTATATTGACGACCGGTTTTCACGCTGATGGGCTGAGACCTTGAAAGATTAGAGCAAACCGCGCCCTCCTGCAAGGCATCGACGAGCTCATTTGCGGTCGCGTCACACCAATCGCTTACATCGTCAGGAGGCGAGAGCCGGAAGGATAGCTCTCCTCGAAGACGGCCCCCCGGGAATACCAGCTTGATCCAGCTTGTCACCCGTCTGTGCTCAATCTTACTATAGCAAGAGATAATTGGGTAACATTTGTGACGTAGACATTGCGTATCCCGTTGTAATTTATTGAGGAACGTGCAACTCTGTTGTCCTCTCGATATCTCTTGCGATGCTGTGGAGCGCGTTGTTCTAGGCGTCCCACCAGATCGATCAGCTCATAGTTAGTATGCCTACTCTAGGTTACCTCAGCACCCGTCTGACCTGCTCCTCGGCTAGTCGGGGATTCTCTGGTGGGTTAAGGTTAATCGCATTAACCATATTCAAACATGGGCAAATGCTCCACGCTGCGAAGCGGCCGCCAGAATAAGCTTGTTTCGATTGCGGCTCTGGTTTTGACATCAACTACCCGACTGTTGTTCTAGTCTCTTAAGTGGAATTTAATCGTGAATTTGCGCACAGTCGTAGCCTCGGAAGAAGCGTATTCAATGAGTTGCATTCAGAGATCTTCTATTATTACTAGCACATAGAAGAAGAAGCCGAAGCCATCAATATCCCAACCTTATGATGTCCAGGCGGTCTCCTATCTTGGCTCTCTTACAATACCATCGTTCCTCCAGGCGAATCCCGAGACTAACACTACTTAATTCTATGTCCCAGGCGTGAAGATAATCTACTCATGAAAGAATCTGTCAGTAAAAGAATTTTTTAGGCCTAATACCGCTTCGCAAGGAAACACCCACATATATAGGACCTGTAGTGCCTACATCCCATTCCAGTTCATTATCCTGGCAGAGGGCCTGGTTGCTCCAAACGTTGGTGCTAGGGCTTGAGCTTTCTAGCTGGATTTCATTATGCCACGGGCCGGAGCTCCATTCACTCTGCGTAGAGCCCGAATAGCCATTTCCGTTATAGGAGAGGGTCCAGATGCTTTCGGTGGTCGCGCACAGATCGCCGCCCGATGAAGAGCCCTTTTCTTCCACGTATCCGATAGAGGTACACAAGACGCCAGCAGAGCTGACCTCCAGCGTCGAGTTAGACCCAATGTCATTCATGCATTGGTCGTCAGGGCCTCCTGCAGTAAACTCGATCTCAAAGCTCGGATCTGACTCGGTCGGGAAGTAGACGCTGCCATAGACAATTCAACCTTCCAATGGAGTGGTCAGCTCAACTATTCAAACATTGGCGCATGAGCACTTGGCTATCTTACCAGCTCCAGCTTTCACTATTTGAATTAGTGAAATCAGGGCGAGGATAGATGAAGTTAGAGTCAGTTGCATCTTGCTGGCGTAGGAGTATCGACTCTTGGGTATGTCAATCCTCAGTATTCTCCTACAGTGATCCAAGATGGCGACAACTAAACGTCTCCGGGGACTAGACGTTTATACGGAAAACCCTACCAGCAGTTTCATTGTTAGTTAGTTCCTCAGTGGATGAATGAATAGCACGGGTGTGGTATGAAAACTCGTGTCAAACTCCAATCCATCCCTTACAAGAATGCCGTCTTTGAGAGAGAGTGTGCACTTTCCAACAGAGGGGAGCGACCCAACGAGGTAGGGGCCTCGCCGAGAGCCGTCAGTCTCAAGCAAGCATACTTCGTCTCCTACATTTACACTCGGTTTCTGATTTTGTCACCCGTGAGTATAATGTCCTCGGCAGCCACCAGGGTCACGCACCTGGACATATTCTTGAATAAACGGGCGCTTTCCGCTCTCTGTAATCCCTCGGCTTTTCCTACTCGTGCTTTCAACTAATCTCCCAATTCACTTTCAAAAGCACGCTTTATAAGGGGGGGGTAGAGTCCCAAGATCAGCAACAGCTTTCGTAAGGTCCGCAAGCTCTGCGGGTTCCGTGTTCCTGTCAACACAGACATGCCCGAGCCATTAAACCCAAGAGACAGTACTGCAATAAAGAGAGCAGTCTCATGTGAGTAGCCTGTCTTCTCGGCTAACCACCCGATCAAGCCAGAACGAAGAAGTCGATAATTTGCTGGTATAATCCAAAAGGCTTGATAAACAATTCCGTGATCTTGACAATATGACCGCATGTCTTGATCATATCCATTATCAGCCCGAATCTGTTTTGGACAATCGACGGCTTGACTACAGCCGTATCGTAGAGCTCTTGCAACACGAGAATATCAACGTTGCAAATACCAATAACTCGCGTCTCTTTACCTACAAGCGATTCCATGGCTTTCCAAACTTCAAGTGTCTCCTCCATACGGGACATTGGAGCATGAAGCAGCAGAGTGTCGAGGTATTGTACCTGCAGCCTTTTCAAAGTCAAGCGAATGCTCTTTTCAACCATAGTTGGTAAGGAATCACTAGCTAAGTATGGTAACGTAGAGCTACTGTGTCCGCTTGGGGTCGTAAATTTGCTTTGTATGTAGATATTCTCCCGTGAGATGCCCAAACCTCCATCTTTCTTAGCTTGAAAGGCTACCTGTAAACCTTGTCCAACTACTTCTTCATCATAGTATTTTGGCTGACATGCTGAATCGAGTGCGGTTGCTTCAGAGACAAGTGCTGAAACAATCATAGCAGGGTCGCTTTTCTGGGCAGTCCCATATATGATTGGTGGCACCACAACACCATTTTGCGTCGTCGAACCGACAATAGGCTGGAAGAAGTCACTCATAATGATATTGTCAAGTGCTCTTAGCATTCATCATCTTGAAAGTGACTTTGATGAAGGTAACATGAGAGCTAGCCTGGAGCAAAACCCCTCAAACACCGTCGCTCCAGAATGACTAAAACAGTCTCTGCCGTGGGAGAGAAAGGGTACGCGTTGTGCAGTTTTCGCAAAACCCATCTGGACTGGAAGGCTCTAGAGTTGAGGGACAAGGCTTGTGCAGCCACACCACAAATGTCAGACGGGTGTCACACGGATGCGAGATGCTCGATTAGAACATGTGGCTGTTAAATTTCTGCAAGGAATCCTGGTTGTGTGACATGAGATACAGCCAGCCAGCCAATTTCCTTGCGACACGGCCTCAGGTCACGTTGTGGAAGAATGTGATGTGTGCACTTTTCCCGTACATACACTAAAAAAGCAAAAAGGTAGATAAGCAGAAGAGAGGCAACGATGCACCAACAACCCCATACCATATTGATTCGCTATACCCTTCGCTCAGCACATCATCTACACCGCCGTATTTTCTGACACTGCAGCGCGACACCCGAGACACTGCCTCAATCACTATCTACGACCTTGAAGCGACTACCTCCTGCTTCAGTAAATGTCGCGCTACTACCGCCGCACTTTCATTTGGTGGCTGATCTCCCTGATTGCTTTTGTCAGTCTATCGTGGCTTGTAGACCTACATCGTCAGGCGCCTGAGTCCGAGGAGAGCAAGATGCCATTCCCACCGACAATGGAGCAGCCTTCTGGCCTTGCTGAAAAAATGTGAAGGATTCTGCCAGTCCTTTTGGTCATCGCTAATCACGTGCAGTCTCAACGAAAGCGCAGTGAAAATCGAAGAGGTCCGGTGGATTTTCAAAGTTCCCTCTTTTGCTATTGGGATCATCCAGAAGGGACAGAGATCTTTCAAAGGTTTCGGATATGCTGAAGCGGAGACGAAACGCGAGCCTGACGAGAACACAATATACGGGATGGGGCCATGCACCAAAGCCTTCACCACTACCATCCTTAGCCAGCTTGCTTTGAAGGGAGATTTAGATCTAGATGCTCCAGTCTCTGCCAAAATCCCTGACCTCAAGACTGCATTCAACCCTGCAGTCGCCGAGAAGATGACTGTTCGAGACATGGTCTCGCACTGCGTGGGTCTCAACCAGCTTATCTATGAGGTCGTCGGGAGGAATGGCAATGTTTTTGCCGAACGCACCGACGTTGTTTAGATCTTCAACCATCTACCCAAGGTTGCCGAGTTTCGTTCTGAATGGCAGTACAATAACTGGCTATTTGCGTTGGCTGGTGTTCTTGTCACGAAAGTTGTTGACAAATCGTTTGGCACTGTTGTGAAGGATGAGATCTTCGCCAAACTAGGCATGAACCGCACCTACTTCACATTCCCAGAAGATGAGAACTATGCGCTACCATATCAAATATTTGATGATCGAAAAGAAAAGCCACAGCCGCTTCCTCAATTTGGTGATGGAGATGCGTTTGACAGTTCTGGATCAATGCGGTCCTGCATCAAAGACATGCTTACTTGGGCAGATGTGTTGATGGAGGTGCGAAGGGGTTCGACAACCAAGCCATCGCAGTTTTGGTGGCTACCATCCTGGTTCAATATAAATCAGAGCAAACCAAGACACACCCTTCCATCAGATCTCCATGAGTCTTTGGCCACCATCCAAGAGCCCTACTTCGCTCTGGCACAGGATCCAAAACAGGCCTACGCAATGGGATTATATTCTTTCCTGCTACCAACACCTGAGATTAACACCGTCACAAACTTAGATACCAACACGATATCATATGTGTTAGGGCGTGGCTCTAAATCAAGGGCAGTCATCGGCCACACTGGTGACTACGGTGGATTTCTCTCAGTCTATTGGACATTTCCTGAAGGAGACACTGCCATCGTGGTTCTTTGCAACACATATGAGATCAATGGTGATCCAACGAATATCGTCGCCCAAATGATTGCTCAAGAATTATTTGATTTGAAGCCACGAGTTGATATGGTGGACATTGCCCCGAACATTGTCGCGAATGCCAAAAGTCGGTGGACCAGCCTTCAGGAGGAATGGACATCCCATCGTGTGGAAGGCACTCAGCCAGCGCCGCTGAAATCGTTCGTTGGCAGATACATCAACGAGGGCCTGGCAATGGATCTAGAATTCACAATTCTTCGCGATGGAGACACCCCCTTGCTACGGATGATTATCAATGGCTTACAAGACCAGATATTTGATCTTTTCCATTATGATCGCGACAATTGGACATTTCTTCCCAAGACTCGCGATTCCTGCATAGAAGAGGGACTTTCAGCTTATATTTCAACCTGGGATTATTTCGTCCTGCAATTTGAGAGCCTCGAGCATGATTTATTTGGCGAAGTGAAATGGAAACTCGACGCCGATCCACGCGTCCAGCCTACAAGATTTTACAGGCAGTAAAGAGCTATATAGTCAAGGAACGGGTTATCAGAATGGCTACGAATAAAAGACACAAGCTAATCACCGATATGATAATATCGAAAAACCATTCATCAACTGTGTGTACTAAAAAGCTTAGAAGCGTTGGTATTCATTGCTGCAAATTCTTGCGGCTCTCAAGGATTTCAAACTTCTCGTAGGCATCCCACGGAATAGCCGCTGATCATTTGAGGAGATTGATTGCGAACAGGACCAAGGAGGTTATTTGCATATGGGGCACCTATGTGGGCCGACCAGTCGCTTTTCTCGTCACTTCCTTGGTACGGAAGTGACTTGTGTGCCCATCAACTGAGACAGCGTCAACACAAGAACTATGGAAACAGCCCGGCAACATGTTGCTCCGATGAGCTGGTGAAAAGGCTAATTGCCAATTGCGCTACAATCTCGACGCCAGTATCACCACTATGGTCTGTCAAATCCGCTCACCCCTCAGATTATAGAAGTTCCTTTTACGAGATTTTCCCGATAGCCAAGAACAAAAAAAGCTCTAACTTATTGGAAGCTTCGTCTCGTAATGTCTTATCATACTGACAAATTCCGCCAAGAAGTCAAGGCGGATTTGGCAAATTAGATTATTGCCAAGAAATGGCGTCCGCGGAATGATAAGCAGTTAGAAACGCCCAAGCGCAACGATATAAATTAATTCGGCAATAAGCTTAAGTGTGAAGGGCATCGAGCACGAACCGGGTACCTGGATAAGAGCACGCGATACGCGATAGTTATGGCGGAAATCTGCGCAGGGTACGTCTCAAAGCGGAAGGTTAGATTGAGAATCATGCTTGTGGGGTATATTGAACCCACAACTCAGGTTACATGTAGCAGGGATTCCACTTGCATCAGCAAGAAGCTGCCGACCCTCTTGCTTCCTTCCTACCTTCTCATGCAGCAAACCCTACAAGGTAACTCGGCCTCCAATCCTGTAGTGCAGATTCACAGAACAATGAGCCTAGAGTGACAATACGACTTGGCCTTTTCCGTGATCTGGGTTCTTGCCAAGAATGTGCCTCAGATGGCGCCTAAGAGCAAGAGTGGCTATTTAATCCTAGTGAGCCCCGTGCCAACTAGGTTGCAAGATAGCATCGATACTCGCCAGTTAGGAAGTTCGAGAACTTGCGTAACATGATCATGAGGTTCTCCGCTGTAGCCCTGGTTATCTCTCTTGTGAACGCTAGTGTCACGGAGGGAGGGAACTATGCGGTTTCCGAGGCCTCCTCAGAGAACGACACAAAGGACCAAAGCAGACTCATCCCTGGTAGCTACATCATCGAGTTTGCACCGGTTAGCAGACGTTTCCCTACGCACAATGATTGATGCATGAGAGATTCTCATATTGTATTAAGGGTTCCGCTCAGCGTCGTGATGGCATTGGGGCGACGGAAGGCATCACAGTTGTCAAGACGTTCGATAGCATCGTCTTCTCGGGGGCTAGCATTGAGACGAACAGGTATAACCAGGACTCACTACAAAGCCTACCCAATGTCATTCGCGTGTGGCCCAATTTAGTCGCTCAGCTACTCCCCACAGAGACTACATCATCTGTCGCCGGCTCGGTAAGCGATCAAGGCTACTCAACGCACAATGCGACGGGCGTGGCAAAACTACACGCCCAGGGCATCTTTGGAAAGGGGGCCAAGGTTGGAATTGTAGATACCGGCGTTTGGTATACGCATCCTGACGTGAGTCTGTGTGATTAGTGTCGTAGTATGGAGGTGTAGTAACTGGGAAGCAGCTCGGTGGCGGATTCGGTCCTGGATTCAAGGTTGCAGGTGGCTACGATTTCGCGGGCAACGGACGTAGGTGGAAAACTTTTCTGCTCCGCGATCTGTGGGTTGCCGGGCACTGACATGGATTAGTTTGGCCATATTCCGGTGAGAAGGAGCCGGATGATGACCCACTCGACCAAACCGGTCACGGCACTCATGTCGCAGGAATTGTCGCGGGCAAGGGTTCTGGGTGAGTTCATTGTTTTACTTATCACGAAGTCAACACTTGTTGAGCGTGGTCGACGCAAACGAAGAGATACACAAATTAATCTTCACGGATTGTCTCGTAGGTGGTCTGGAGTCGCTCCTGAGGCCAGCCTCTATTCCTACAAGATTTTTACCCAGGATGTAAGTTCCGCTATTCTGACAAAACTTTGAAGAAATGGACATCACTAAATGACCCCAACTCCAGAGCTTCACTGATACGGCAACAATTCTCGAGGCATTCCTTCGTGCCTTCGATGATGGGGTATATACTTTTATCTATGCCGTTTAAACTTTTACATCTCTAACATGCCTACCCCTATCCGTTAGGTTGACATTATCACGGCTAGCGTGGGTTCCAACTACGGGTGGTCGACAGATGTCTGGGCTGAAATTGCCAGCCGATTCGTCGAGGAAGGTGTCTTCGTTACCGTCGCCTCAGGCAATGTTGGCACGATCGGCCCCTTCGTAAGCAGTAGGGGGGCAACTGGCAAGAATGTAATCGCTGTGGCATCAGTCGATTCACAAACTTTCCCCGGATTTCCATTTAATGCAAAATTCACGGGAGACCAGGGGATTGCTGATGAGACCGCTCGCTACGGTTATATTCCTTCCATCGACCCGTTCCCAGCCACCCTAGTTGATGTACCTATTGTTCCCTTCTCCCTCGACACAAATGCTAGCGCCGACGCATGCGCGCCGCTAGAGGAAGGCTCACGAAACTTTACGGGTCAAGTTGTGCTTGTAAGGCGAGGTGTAGCTACGCAGTGTGATTTTGACACGCAGCAGAATAACCTTGCCCCTCTGGGCGGCACGATGGTGTTGATCTACAACAATGATCAGCCTCTTCGATATCCTCTTGTTGGCTACACCAACAGCACTGTCGCTCTGATATCAGCTTATTCCGGCACCCAGATTGTGGAGGCCGTCAAAGCCGGTCGCAATGTCACGGCTGATTTCTCTGTCGATGCTGGCCAGCCAGTTGGGCTAGCCTACTCATTAGGCGGGGACCCCAATTACTTTACCAACATCGGTCCCTTGTACGACCTTCAGATAAAACCAGATATTGCAGCTCCGGGAGGGAAAATATATAGTACTTGGCTCGACAATAGCTACGCAATTGAGAGCGGCACATCCATGGCCACTCCGTATGTAGCTGGCGTCGCCGCGCTCTACGTCGGCGTTTATGGTGGTAGGGGCACACATCCAAGTGCCAATGCATGGGCCAAAGATCTAGGCAAGCGCATTATCTCTAGTGGTATCGGGCTGCCTTGGGCTGATGGCTTGACGGAAAAGGACTACGGCCATTCCGCCAGCGTAGCCCAGATCGGCAATGGCTTGATCGATGCATCTAAGGTGCTCCTGTACAAGACTACGATTGACTTTGAGAAGTTTGCTCTTAACGACACGCACCACTTCAGCCGATACCACGATATCAAGATCACTAATAACGGCGAGGACGCTACTACCTATAACTTCTCTGTCCAGGATGCTGTTGGCGCTGAGGTACTCGGCTGGTACGCAGCTGACCAGGTCCTTCTCAACTCTGCTCCTCGAACCAAGCGAATTCGCGAGTTCTTCGACATGGTGCCACAAACACTCGTGCCCGATATCAAGTTTCCCAAGCCCTTCACACTTGAACCTGGCCAGAGCAAGACGGTCACGTAAGTCGCTTTAGTATCAGCAAAGCAGGTCGACTTGACTGACAAATCTCTACAGAGTTAGCTTCGGCAATCCTGAGACATTGGGCTGGAATTCCACGGGACTGCCGCTCTACAGCGGACGTATCACAGTCTCCAGTAGTAACCAAGAGTATTTGTCGGTGCCCTATCTAGGTTGGTCCATGCTTCACCCTCTAAATTGATTAATCGCTCGGTCTTCCTTACTTCGGTGTGTATCTTCATCAGGCATTGCGGGTAATATCCAAAGCGAATTGAGCCCAATGGAAGAGACGAACTATGCTTTTGCTGTGTCTACGATCAACAATGTTCTCGTACAAAACAAGCCATAGTAGGTTGTCCCAAAGATACTACGTGAACATGGATTATAGGAAAAGGGGCTAATTTGATTCAGCTTCACATTTAACCTAAGTTTAGATGCTCAAGACTTCCCAAAGATCATCAGTAAGCCAATTTATGGAACGGCGGAAGTCCGCTTTGATGTATGTCTAAATTCATTCGTCGCATGTGCTCTTCCATCCCGCTAACCACTCCCGTAATAGGTTTTCGAGGCTGATTGGAAGGAGCGTGAATGGAAATACCCTCCAGTTCCCGGACAAAATGGCTACATCGGACCGGTGGCATCTTGGGTCGGATCTGGCCTAGTTAGTCGCATCAACACTGACTATTACGACCCTAATGACACATTTACGTATCCCATTTACTACATCAATCGCAATGGAGCCTACGAACAGGACCAGCATTGGTGGTTTGGAAAACTAGGCAACGGAAGCCAGATTGCCGTTGGTAACTATACGTGAGTCGTGACCCTTGGTTCATTCAATGTGGACAGCAAAGCTCGAAGCCTCTGACTGACATTCGCACTTTTAGACTCCGCTTTGCCTTGTTGAAGCCATTTGGAAATCCCACTCACTCGGACAACTGGGAGATTCTGAAACTCCCCCAGATATCTGTCCTAGGACAGTACTAATAAGACAGTAGGGACCCATAGACAAGATTAGGTTCAAGCGAGAGCTCGGCTGCGTTAACGTATCCAACAGTTCTTACCCACATTTTGCTCTACTTATTCTTCTCCATAGAATACTTTTATCATTTAGCTTTTGCAGCGATCTGTCAGACGCAGACAGAAATACGCTCCTTTCCGCTTCAACTGGAGTCCAGGAGGCTCTTTTTTTGTGTGCTATGAAGTATCTTGAATAGGTGTCTGCTGCTGACCAAATTGATGCACTGAACACGAGGACCTTTCCAGATCTTGACATAAGATTTGGAGCGCTCACCTGATATGATGTACTCCGGGTAATTTCGCACTAGTAAGACGCGCAAGGTTCAGTAGTAGGGCTCACTGCATGGGCTCCCTTTTCACCGTAGACTGCAATGCATGTGAGGTGAAATGTCACCAGAATTCTTTTCTATTATCTTGCTCTATCAATCTACATGTAGGTTCTCTACTCAACGGCAAATAGAGCCAATAGGAGATGAAACGAGAATAAACCCTGTATCGTTGATTGTAGGAGTTAAGATGCGCCCTCCACTGAGCTTTACCTAGACTTCCTCAATATGAGACTTCTGTGATTGACTCGTCCTTCCATTGTCCAGAGCTACTTTGTCGTTGACAGTTTCGGGCTCAGGGTTAAGACCAACATCTCTTCTTGCTTCAGCCAGCATAATGGCGTCTGCCTCGCCCGAGTGACTCTTGAAAACACGGTCCATCTCCTCAAGTGTAGCCCCCTTGGTTTCAGGAAGACAGAAATATACCCACACGATGCCACCAGCGAGGAAAACAGCAAAGAAGATGTAGGTGCCCCATTCCCATGCTTCGAACATTGGTGGAACGAAAAATGCGACTGCGAAATTGTTCACCTGTCATGCGATTAGCAATTATAAGACCAAAATTGGTGGAAAGGGCACGGGCAAGAGATACGCACCCAATTGCTTGATGCGCCGAAGGAGGCACCCTTGGCTCGAATTGAGAGAGGAAATATCTCAGACACAAGTGTCCACGATACTGGCCCCCACGTAGCACCGAACGCTCCGACGTAGACCCAAATAAATGCAACCGCTGTCCAGCCAGCATTGGCATGATGAACCCAGTCATGTCGGAACTTGGCAACAATGATGCCTGCTAGAACCATAGATATGAACATAACTACTGAGCCAACAAGAAGCACTGAAGCATATTCTTTTAGTAACAGCCTCCCCAGGAGATGAAACGTATCCGGGGATTGCTTACTAGGCTTTCGGCCGACCTTGTCGATTATAGCCATGGCGGGCAGTGTACAGACAAAAAACACAACGCCAGTGACCCCTGTGGCCAATAAGGCGGTCGTGCCACCTGTCAGTCCCAGGCTTACGAAAACGTTCGATGCATAGTAGATAATAGCATCAATACCAGACCTAAGCAGAAGCATTAGCAGTGTGCAGAAGCTATGCCTCTAGCACTTACCATTGCTGAAAGAACATAACGAGCCATGCTGTCGCCACGCGCTTAAAGTTGTCCCAAGTCCTGACAATGTTCCAGTATTGCGCAAACTCCCGCACCCAAACGCTCTGTGTTTCTCTAGCATGAAGAGTGGGAAAAGCCTTTGCAAACGCTCGCTCCTCGAACAGGCACTCAGCCTTGATTTCCTTGTACTCGGCTTGAATCAATGCGTCATCGACGGGTAGTTTGCGCAAGTATGCGAGTGTCTGAAGTGCTTTCTCGTCGCGACCTTGTTTAACGAGCCATCGAGGGGAGAACGGCAGCCACCATATGCCAAGCGCAAGGCATGCAGCCGGTATACCTTGGATGATTGACGGCAGCTGCCAGGCTAAGTTGGATTGGCTTTCACCATGGCCACCAATATTATTGCTACCATAGCCTATCCAGAAAGAAAGCATGATTCCAAGAATGGTTGCGAACTGGTAGAAGGAAACGAGAAAGCCTCGGAGTTCAGGGGCAGAGAGTTCTGCATTGTAAAGAGGGCTTTGGTGGAGAACATTAGCTGGAAATCTGTATTCAGAGAGGTCCTTTCTTACCCAACACCGCTGAATGTCCCAACACCTAAACCGGTGAAGAATCGGCCGGCATATAGGAGTCTCGGATTGTGGTATGTTGCACCACAATAAAGATAGCTGCCAAGAACCACCCAACAACAGGCTGAGAACATGGTATACTTGCGAGAGAAGACCTCGCCAAAAACTCCGGCTGAGAGGGAGCCAACAATACCACCCAGTTGAAGAACCGAAGTCAACCAGCCCGTCGCACTTGATGAACGCACCACGGAAGGGAAATTGTTCGTGAAGCGGTACATGACCAATGACTGCCCCAGAACTCCTTGTTGGTAGCCATATTCGAAACCGCCAAAGCTATGGTCCACAATTAGCTGCGCATTAAATGGTGGAAAACTCCTGAACTGACGAAGCGAATAAAGCAATGACGAGTAGTTTTGGATTATGCATGAGATTTCTCCATCTGTTCTTGTATGCCAACGTTCGCCGAGCATCCACCACATTTTCTGGGATTGAATCCATGATGTCAATAGTATGGCTACGATCGGAGGAATGAAGAGCAGAACCGAGGGATGATTTGAGCCTTGAGAAGAAACACACGATGTTTGGCGCGGAGCATGCACATTTAAACAGAATGCTGATCATCCCCACGACGTAATGATACAACGCTCCTTAGTCTTTCTAGAACCACGGCCCGCACCAACAGCCGCCGCCAAGCCTTATCCCCGGTGAGTCCCCGTACGACCCCGCCTCGTCAACTACCGCGTCCGGGGTTGGTTTCCACCACTTGCGCCGACTTTCGCATTGGTATGGTGCTTAGGAGTTCCTATCTGAGCAGAAGAGGTTGTTTTGGGGCCGATCACACCCTATATAGGTAGTGCCAACCGCCATTTGTACGAGGCCATCGTTGTCACTGCAATGCGACGCGATTCGCTCGATCAAACTCCAACCTCTCATGTGCTCCCTTGAGTGCTTGGTACGTCTCACGGTCTCCACAGTAAGACCGAACAGGATCAGATCTTGGAAGCTCAATGGCCGCCATTTGAGAAACCGTTTCTAGTAATTGGTAATCGACGATATGGAAGCCGACCATGATCACAACTTGTCGCGAGTGTTTTGCTTAGTCAAGTAAGATGGAGTTTTTGTTGGCTCGGCTGTGATTAGATAATTGATCTTGCACAATGTGCCTAGCTATGAATGTGCTTTGACTTGAGTCCTCTTTGCATTTGTTTGGGTATTCGTGAGTGGTCTAAGCACAACACCTATGTTGACGACTTTATAATGCTTCAACTATCCTAAAATGCCTTTCTTTTGAGTCCGAATCATGGCTACAGGAGAACGAATAACTTAGGTTAATCACCATCAGCAAGGCTTTATTGTGTAATGTGGTACAGCATTCATAATTAGTAAGTTGTCGATATAAGTAATCAGTCTCACATAAAAGGCGATTTGATGATCCAAATCTTTGTTCTCTGACACCAACAAATAGTCACAGACGTACGACATGTCAGAGTATATGAAAAGCCTCTTAAAGACACATCCTTTGCAAGGCCACATTTGAAGGGTGAAAGCATAGGCAGTGGATAGCTCGGACTAAATGAACGGTCATTGACATATTGCCGTGAAATCCCGATCATTTACCATGCGGGCGGTTTCCGGCAAAACTCATTGCAGCCAAGCGAAACCATGATTGGACACGACCAGCAGGAATGGCTAGGCACTCAGGTTAACAAAGGCTATGTGATATTAAAGAATCAATTTATATGGCCTTTCTATATGCTAATCACCGCGGCGAACTAAAAGGGCCCGATATAACTCGCTTCAATTCTCCTTGACCAGATTCCGAGGCTTTTCTGAAAGCTGTTCGGTCTAGAGATATCTAGCACAAGCAGTTCACAAATTGTGGTTTTACTACTGGACCTCAGTCTTCTCATCATTAAACAATGATTTGGGCTACGATAGTTCTCGCTGCAGTGTCGTTAGTGGAAGCGGCTCCTCAAGCGCCTCCGCCTGGCAATGGCAGTTTAGGGCTTGGTGGGGGAACTCTCCTGCGATTTGGTTGCTCACAAATCGTGATTGAGCGTCTCGATCCCCTGAACAATCCTGGGATGATTCCGTCCACCCATGACCACCAAATCGTTGGTGGAAATGCATTCAACGCTACGATGGCGAGCACTGATATATCTAGATTGGCAAACTGTACCAGCTGCCGCTATGGCGACGACTTTTCGAATTACTGGACAGCCAACATGTACTTCAAGGCACGTAATGGAACATATAAGCGTGTCCCTCAGGTTCCCAACAGGTATGCTGCCTTCTGTTCGACTCGTACAGATCTCATGAATGACACTTCGCGCTAGATACCTATTTGGAGACAACTTTACGACAGCGACCCAGGGCGGCTTTACTGTTTACTACGTCTCGGATGGGCCAGGTAAGGCGACAGCTTTCAAGCCAGTAGGTTTCTCAGTGTCATGTCGGGCACAGGCATATGCTGACCATATGCAAGGGTTTCCGCATGCTAGTTGGGGATTCGATGCAGCGCGAGAAGAGGGATGAGCAGAGGAAGTACCAGAGCTGCTTCCGCTGCTACACGGGTCCGGTCGTTGAGCCTGATTATGGAGGCGACCTACTGGCTCCTTGCCAGGATCCAAGGTTGGAAAGCCCACGGGAGGGCGCAGTTTATTGATAGCTGATGTACAACCCACAGAGTCGACACCGAAGCCTTCCCTGCGAACCCTTGTCCGGGTGGCATTCGCTCCAACATCCTCTTCCCCACGTGAGTCTTTACTAAAAAGTCGAATGCAATTTAATCTAATAGGGCTTTAATCATGTAGATGCTGGGATGGCAAGAATCTCGATAGTCCCAGCCACAAGGATCATGTGGCATATCCCATTGAAGGGCCAGATCTTTTTACTGGACGACCTAACGGCACCTGTCCGGAAAGCCATCCAGTGAAAATTCCACAACTGATGCTGGAGGTACGTTCAGCCGTTGTCGTTTTGACCCAGAATTATACAGATCAGATCCTATCTTCTAGCTGAGACAAAAACTACAACAAAAATTACTGCTGACGAGGTGGTTATTTCAGATTGTCTGGGACACGACTGGATTCAACGATGTCGCGGAGTGGCCTGAAGATGGATCACAGCCGTTTGTCCTCAGTATGGGTGATAGCACCGGATACGGGCAGCATGGAGACTATGTCTTCGGATGGAAAGACGACGCTCTGCAAAAGGCAATGGACGCAAGTTGCTATGGCGCGTCGTGTTCCGATCTCAAGACACAGGAGGTTGGCCCGGCAGATGAATGCGTGGTGCCGGTTACTGTTGAAGAGGCTAGAGAAGGATGTAAGTTTATATCAACAGTATGACTTTGACGACGCGTATTCTGACTCTCCACAATAGGGATCACAAAGCTGCCAGGTGATGGGTCCGGAGCCTGATCGCCCGCTTGGGCATAAGAATATAAGATGAGCAGACTCGTTTCTAGACCATGAGTTACAGACTGGAAGATGAGGTCGATGGTGTTTATGGAGATTTTTTTGTGTATAGATCCCAAGCAAACTTTGATTGAATTTCTGATACGCACACAAGCTTGAGTGAGATCAAGAGGGGGAGAAGACGAGAGATTTGACCACAAAGAACAGCTTCATGAACTCAAAGTCTTAAAATAACGATGGAATCATTCAACACTAGAAATGAGCAATTCGATCTGGACTCGTCGAGGTATCTGTTCATTTTGCAGGGAAGCCGAGGCCATGTCTAAGCCTCACGACAAACGTCGTTGTTGAGATGCCGAGGCTGAGATTTAAGCGCTGTCAAAGGGGTCAACAGGCCCTGGATTCTAAAGATTTTAGGGCTGTCTTCGCTTAACCAACCTTGTTTACAGACGGGCCGGCTGCTTGGCGCGCTGGCCGTAGGCGTTACCTGCTTGCCTCAAAACGGGTTGGCTCGTGTTTTGACAGCGCTGTAGGCTGACTCGTCCACCGACTTGGCTCCAATCAGCCACCACGAGAGGGAACTGCGCCACGCAATAGCGGCAGGCTACCTACCGTTCGCAGTCAGAACACTGGCTCTTCCATTCCCAACGAACAAAAACCTTGGGCTAAGCCAAAGCCCATAGGCTCCCGCCGCATGTGACGGCCTCCTGGTGATGTTGGGCTGTAGATATATTGTGGCGGACGTCAGGTCGTGAAGGCTTCAATTCTCCAGTATTGACAAATGACAACCCCGATGGAGAACGATCCAGTTCCAGCGTACACAGCGACTGATGATTCCGGGCTGTTTGCCCGGATTGAAAACCTCAAAGAGTCCAACTCTCCAATAATCGCCAAGCTCAGTTTTCCGATCACGCAACATCCCGAACGGCCACAGCTGTATCGGGGCAATGAGCAACTGCTCCCCGAGGACGAGTATAATGTCCTCTCAGACGCATGGTTTCTGTGCGACAACATCATCAGGTCCCTCTTTTACGCAATCACAACAAAGCACGATGAACTCGTGTCGGAATTCGTGTCGCGGGGCCTGGTGTCGCCCGATGTGGTCTCGGAAAAGGGCGAGACACCCCTCTTGGCGGCCGTGAACGTTGGCGACGTCAACATGGTCCGGACGTTGGTCGTTCTCGGTGCCACAGTCGATGGCTTTGGTAGATCTTCCGTATACAAGTACCGCGACGGAGACCTCACACCGCTGCAGCTGGCTGCGGCGACAGGCAGGCTGGCCCTTGTGCGATTTCTGATGGAGGATTGTGGCGCCGACGACGCGATTATCTCACCGGACGGCGCGCTCGCGCTTCGTCTGGCCGCGGCTAATGGCCATCGTGAGGTCGTAGAGTACCTTCCCACACGGCGAGGTGGTGCTTGGCTGCGATGGAAGACAGCACATCGGCGCCACATGGCCACCGCCCTGCGTGCTGCGAAACGTATAGGCCGCTTTGTGGCCATTATCGTGTGGTACATTCCGAAGTGGATGGTCTACGAGATGCCGAAAGAGGCGTGCAAGGATATGTGGAGGAAGCGTCATAGGTTCTGGGGCTGGTGCAAGCGCACCGTCCGCGAGCTGCCGGCAAAGCTCAAGAAAGTGGGCAAAGACATGTGGGAAGGCGCAAAAAAGGCGCCAGTCGAGATTTGGAGGGCGGCAAAGGCATCTACGCTTTGGCTCTTCAGATTGATCACAGCTATCCCGGGGGCTCTTAAGATTGCTCTCAAATGGATTGGATCAGGTTTGAAGAAGGCGTGGGATGCGGTCGCGCACATCATCCTACGCGTGTTATCATTCCTTCATACACTAGGAGTCGCCGTCGTCTCCTTCTTCCACGACCTCACGTGGCAGGATGTTGTGAACGGTTTTAAGAGCGTGCTTCGCGCCATCTTTGTTGGCCTTCCTAAAGCCATCTGGAGTTTCATCGCTGATTTTGGCAAGATGTCATATGAGATGTTGAAAACACTATTTGGAGCACTCGGGCAATTGTTATGGTATATTGGGCTCGGACTATTGTGGCTTGTTTGCTATATTCCGAAGAAGCTATGGCAGATATTGGTCTCGCTGGTGGGCTCGATGAGCTCCGGTGTACGAGAAATAATGGTTTGGTTTGATCCTAAGAGGATGTAAATTAGATGATAGAACAGCGAGACCTCGCCCCAGTGTCAAGTATTTCAACCAAAACAATGATAAAGGATCATCGCATAATGAGAGGTCTAGATGGCGGGATAAGAATGGCATGATCGCTTTTGAAGCCACCGGAGATGTAAGACGCGCTATTCCAGCGTCATCAGAAGGATGCAACATACGGGTCGTCTTCTTCCAGCCAAGGGTGTGAAATTTCGCTAAGATCCTAGGATAGTAGGGCTGTTTCCACGTGGAAATTACCGACACCAGAGAGAAGCGTTGCATATGGGGGCGTGTCATGGCGTGATCGCTAACGCATGTGGGCTGCATTATCGTGTCCATCTAAGATCGATCTTGTACCAGTCCTCTGGGACGCCAAGAACACCTTGAACCACAGGACTGGAATCTACAAGTCTCGAAGCCGTCTATCGCCTGACGGAATGATGCATACTTTTGCTAAGACTCTTGAAGCGAGCATATCTGCAACATACGATAGTTCTAGCGTCCCACTAATGAGGTTATTGTGAACAGTCTCCCGGTTCTGGAGGGGACTAGGCGATTACGACATCGGGGTCATGTCGTTCGCAATGGCTAGGCAATCCCTCCTTCTTCGGGACATGGCGATGCATAAGTAGGAGCTCTCTCAGAGGATACGATGTCACATTTGATCGTCATGACGCAGAGAAGCATCTCAGTCTCTTTTTATCGATCCGATGGGTTTATTTAGACAAATTAAGCACGTAGCCCAGCTACGCCAGGGTGACACCGATATCCCCGTGGATCGGTGGCAGAACCGAGACCTAGTACCCCTCCCTCCAGGTGAGCAATATATTACCTGCAAAGAAGTTATGATGGCCTCGGCTGACAGGTGGCGCCTGTCTCTCGTACAGAACGGAGACAATGGAGAGATCTTGACTTCGTCGGCCTGTGGAGCACAGTCTTCCTTACAATCTATGGTTGGCAGGCGACAGCCTCTTTGCTCTCGTTCGGTCTCAATGTCTGGCAGGCAGTGCTGTGCACCATAATTGCTCGCATTCTCCAATACTTGATTGTCCTTAGCCTAGGCTGGTTAGTTTTATATCTTGATCTCTGACACAGTGCGAGAAGGAGGCTCATAAGTCATGCTAGGATTGGAGGCGTTTGGCACATCTCCTACACTGTCCAATCTCGCTACACGTTCGGCATCTGGGGCTCAATGCTCCCAATTCTCCTGCGTGTCGCAGTCACTTGTGGTACGTAACTCATCAGCCGTATACTGGCCTAATTGCAAGTCAACAATTGGCTAACGGGTTGTCTGTCTGTTATAGTCTGGTAAGCAACTCCTGGACTTCACTTGAGCTGGTTAATACTTCTGAGAATTGGAGACAAAATCCGAGTCCCAATCCAGCCACTTACTCCTCGGACGACCCCATTTGAGTCTTCTATGCTCTTCTGTTATCCTCATAAGACAATTACTGACGACAGATGCGAAGGTACGGTGTTCAGAGTTTCACGGGCGGGCTTCTCATTAGTACTTTGTTGTCGACCATCTTTTCCGGTTACCAACACCTACATAATACCCTGCCTGCATCGGCATCCATGACGACTAAACAATTCGTTGGCTTCATACTCTACAATATCATTGCAATCCCACTCCTATACTTGCCCCCAGACCGGCTCAGGAAACCATTGCGTGTAGCGCTTGTTGCAAGCGCGATTACTATCTTTGGTCTTTCAATCGGATTAATGGCTGCCGCTGGAGGTACAGGGCAGTACATCAAAACGCCAACGGCAGCCAAGCCAGGCTCTGAACTAGGCTGGGCTTTCGTTCGTGGCATCACAGCTTTACTTGGTGGAAACGCGGTAGGTATGACCAGTCAGACTGACTTCTCTCGTTTCGCTCGACGACCAAAGAATCAAATCTGGGGTCAAGCATTCGGTGTGTTATTCTTTGGACTTGTTGTACCTGTTTTTGGAGTCTTGGGTACTTCAGCCGCTGGTAAGATGTACGGAGATGTCACGGAGCTCGGCTTGTGGAATCCCCCAAACATTGTCCAATTGTGGCTCGATACGGATTATCACAACCCCAAGCTGAGAGCTGCTGCATTTTTCAGTTCTCTGGGTCTTCTGCTCAACATATTGGCTCTTAACTCTGTTGAGAATGGTGTGTCAGGAGGCATGGACTTTGCTGGTCTGTGGCCCAAGTACATCAATATTCGGCGGGGATCATACCTGATTGCTATCGTATCCATCGCACTCAACCCCTGGTACATCATCTCGAAGGCCTCTGCCTTTACATCCGCACTGAACAGCTTTGGAAGTGAGTCTGCCATACATTGCCTGTCCTTGTAGTTATTCCAGCTGACATAGATCACGACAGTCATCCTTGGACCAATGATGGGTGTATTCACCGCTGATTACTACATGGTGCGAAGAAAGAAGGTGAAGCTGAGTGATCTATACCACGACAGCCCAAAGGGCATCTACTGGTTCACTCGTGGTATCAACTTCCGGGCGTATGTGGCATGGATATTGGGTTTCGCACCCTCTATCGGTGGCATGGCCTCGGTGGACCCGGCCAATTCCATCCCAATCGGACTAACGCGGACATTTTACACTGGCTTTCTTACCGGATATGCAATCTCGTTCCTGGTTCACTGGGGGCTTGGTGTTGTGTTTCCTCCTGCCAGTCTGGGTGAGGTCGATAGCTACGACTCGGTACGTCAAGAGTAACGAGATCTCGGTCAGGCGTCCTGGTGCTAACTTTTGAATCTAGTTTGGAACGTTTACGCCCGATGAAGCAGCGAAGCTCGGCATCGAGCCCAACCTTGGCGAGAGGAGAAATCCCCAAGGGCGCACTTCGGACGAGCTCAGGAATGAAAAGGACGTTAGCGTTCATGAAACTCCGTTTTGAGAATTCTTGGTAATTTTCGAATGTGTTGAAGTAGGACACGGTGGCGACACAAGTGTTATCCAATTTGATAATTGGCTGGCTCTGATGGTAGACATGAACCAACCAACTATGACGGTTTCAGTCGTCCACCAGTAATTTATGATAGAAACATTACCTTACTTATCAATTTCATAACGACAAACAATAATATAGTAGAAATTCAAACGCCCAATTTTCACAAAACAACCCAAAAACCAGCTGTGAGGCCTACAATGAGAGGCAACGCTCGAGGCTACAGAGTACTCGTCGATAAGGAGGTACTGGGTATAACGCTTCAATGCATGAGTCTTGTGGATTTTTCTAGATTTGTCCATTTACTCGTATCATCCACTGCGAAGGAGTTCCATCGGATAATTATTGAAGACCGAATTTCTGCGTGATACCAATATAGCTTTAGCGTCGCACTACATTTCCCCCCTAAGAGCTAGGCATGGTTGACGCAATCGACGCCAAAAATTTTCAAGAGTTCCAACGCGTTTTATTCTCAAGTATTAACGACAGCCAAGACACCATGTGATCACGAATGGTCTTACAACGAACTACATGAGTGACGTGCATCGTGCATCACTTCAAGAAGTCGGCAAATTTCAGATACGACAGGCGACAAAGGTTCGAAATGGCAGCCATTGCCGAATTAACGAGCGTTGAAGCATACCAAACAGAGCTGAGCAAGTCAGGGCTGGTCGTCGTGGATTTCTATTCAACGCAATGCCCGCCATGCAAAGTAGGTTCCCACATTCCCACACTTTGCTCACATCATGATTTATCAGACCAACACAGGTTGTCGCGCCATTTTACGAGAAAATTGCAGGAAAGCATGGAAGTGAGACCGTGAGATTCTTCAAGGTGGGTTTTGAAGTCTGGAAAACTCGTCCTTTCATTGTATCTCGTGGATGAGTTGTCATGTCTCACACGTACTTACTCATGCTATAGGTCAATGGTTTAGAAGAGCCTGGGTATGTAATTCAGCAAGCAGCAGGCGTAGTTTGGTGGCCAACATTCGTCATCTATGAGAATGGAAAGGAGACCTGGCGTGAGAAGGTGCCAAACCCACCATCTCTAGAAGCTATCAATAACCTGGAGAAATATTTGGATGAACAACAACGCTTCTAGACGGCTAAAACTGTGGAGGGTTTCTAGATGAAATCTCGCTTGCTGAACAACAGGAAGGAAAGCCCGCACAAGCAAAGATCTTGGCTTAACGCGAACATGATAGGCCTGTGACGACTACTAGAGGTGTGTACTTGGCTCATGTGAATTATAGAGAGTTATTAGTAAGAGGTCCTGCGTGTATTTATATAGCCTATGGTTTGAAACTCATCTGATGAGGAAACCCTGCGCAAGAGTGAGGGTCCTCCATATAGACTCATTATTACCATCAATAACTAAGCCTCTACTAATCATAGATTCTATTGGGCATAGATCCTTGTTAACCAGACTAGAAATTTAGGTGACAAGAGGGCCAATTTGCAATCATATTGGTAGGCTGTGTGTTTAAGCGCTTGGTGGCTGGCTTCTTGAAGTTTTGGCTTAAGCCACCATGACAAAACAGGAATTTACCGATAGCTATAACTTCGTCTACAATTTTCGATTTACGAAATGTCAAGAATTGCCCCGAAGTGATGTGATTAGATGTTAGCAACTACTTGACGCCACGAAGGTGAACAGGTAAGAGTTTTGGTGCCTACCTCTAAGCCCATTCTCTATAAAACAACGACCACTCTACCTGATCGCCTGATTCTGAGTTTGCCAAAACGATAAAATTGGACTTGGTTATCTGGTGGCGCAGGACCTCCTGTCTCCGGGGGCCTCAGCTCCTGCAAGCCACGCATACTATCATTCGCTACTTTCTGGGCACAGCACGAGCCATTCGAGGCGGATCATTCAGATCATATTGGTCGCCTTGTTTACAACAGTTGCCCAATCTTGCTTCGTTGGGAGGCTGGGCTGCCAAATCAATACATAATGGAGCCAGGGTTTCTTTCATTCTTGGAGCTGATTTAATACTCCCTGCTTCCTCATCTGTCACCGCGAGACGTAATGAATTCGTCAATGTCGCCAACATGGCGGATCTTCTATGGCACACTCATCATGTGTGCGATGCCCGTGTCAGCTCGCTTTTCCGAATCTTCTACCAACACAGCCAAAATTGTAGCTGGTCAGGCTTTGTCAGCACCGACACCGATTGTCACAGAACCGCGGAAATTTCGAAGGGAAGAGGGATCTGCGGATGGTGTACCGACGTACACCGTCACATACGCCCCCGACTCCGTGTGTGGATATCTATCCGGATCGGTCGAGATTCCAATCACCTGCGAGAATAAAAACACTTGCTTGTGGGAACAAGAGTATTTCAGGTTCATTGCATGTGAGATTGATGGCGAGACTACGGGACTCGCTCGAACCAAATGTCTACAAATGGACGAAGCTCTGGACCCCAATCTTTGCGAAGATGATTGCGTGAGCAACACATACAACTTACTGTGGTGAGCGTTCTGTCTATACTAAACTTCGGTTGCAGGACTCGTGCTGATAAATATCCTGTTCTTAGCACTAACGCTACAGAGCCGTATTGTCGTACCTATGCCTTTCCCAAGGGTATTCGAGATTACAGATGTGCATCTACGCCTGGTACGAGGGTCTCGAGTGTAGACTTTACCTACGATGGAGAAAAGTATCCGAAGTGGGTGATATCTACTATTGTCGATGTGGATACTTCTATTTCGAGACCCGACTCGAGCCTCCTTGGAATCAGCACGGAACCGACGGTGATGAGCTCGACAACGGTAACGAGCCTAGCAACCGCGACGAGCTCGATGGCCGCCGAAACAAAGGAAGACGGCAAAGGTGTCTCCGCCAAGACCATAGCTGGGGCGACTGTTGGAGCTGTAGTCGGACTCGTGGTCATCTCATTAGGCACGTGGTGGTGCCTTCATCGACGGAAACTGAGGAAACAGAGCAATACGGACCAGGGTACCCCAACTGTGAATCGACAGCCAATGTCCCCGGAAAATTCACCTAGAATCGTTCACGAACTCCCGCAAGGCCTCTGATGAAGATTGGCTCATAGGAAATCAAACTGAGCTGCATGTGGCCATGTATGGTCTGCAATCTTGATGAGATCCGGTTTCCAGGCAGGAAGGTACGAAGTGCATGTTGGTGTGTGAGAAATTTGTCAAGGAAGGAATCTCGCACATCAAGAGAGTGTGTATGTACTAGTGATTTATTAGCCTTGATGATAGCCTGTTACCCATATTGTTAGGTAAGGTATGAGATACGTCACAATCCCCCCGGAGGCCTCGATCGGGTCGAAACTCACATGCGATGTAACTTTCGAATTTCATTTGAGGCTATGATGTTATCTGTCTAGTTTTGAATAGTTTATCAAAGTCTTCTCTGTTCAGAGTCATCCTCCCTTAATTCGGCTAGAATAAACCATGAAGTTTTCATGATACTAGCAGAGCGGATCGTACCCCAATACTACTAAACAAGCACTAGATCTATAATATTACGCATATGCAGCTTCTAGTAGATACAGTTTAGGGAATAAATCTAGTCGTACTTGGGCTGGCTGAATCCTTGAGGACCATACCAGGTCCCTTTGAGGAAGCTGTTCCAGTAGATGTAGGGCTAGATCAAGAGAATTAGCATCTTGGCAACATCCTGGCATTTGAGAAACGTACGAAAAAGTCCTTCTTGAGGTGATAGAATGCCCGTCTTGGCTTCTCCTGGCCGCCAAACACGCCCGAAAACGTCTCCTTTGGAACGCCGCCATACTTAAACTCACATAGCATAAGCTCATTGTGACCTGTAAGTAGAGGGCAGCTGGCGTAGCCATCATAACCGGCCTTGCCCTCCTTTCCAGCAATTGTGGCGAGTAGGTTGTGTACTAGAACAGGGGCTTGTGAGGAGATAGCAGCGGCGGTTTTGCTGTTGGGCAGACTAGATGCGTCGCCTAGCGAAAACACGTTGGAGTATCTTCATCTCTATATTAGCAATGGTCTGCGAGCGATCTGACAATCTTTGACTTACTTAGTATGTTGAGTGGTAGCTTTATCGACGTCGACCCAGCCAGCGCTATCAGCTATATGATAACATAAAGTCAGCTTGCGGCTCTGTATCTAGGGTATACAGGAGCAAATTGATCCATTCGTGTGTAAGAGAATTGACGTACCTAGAGGAGATTTCGCGATCCAATCCCATGGCTTCTGAGGGGGTACAACATGGAGGAAGTCAAATGGTCTCTCTACCCTCTCGCCGTCCTTCGCCAGATTTTTGAAGACTGCTGTCTTGTTCTTCACGTCCACAGCGGTCAGGTTATGTTGGAACAGACCCTCGACATTGCGTTGCTGGCGAAGTGTCTCAAGTGCCTGGGAGTATTTGGGGACAGCAAACATCACTAGAGACCCAGTTAGTCGGCATTGAAACAGGGGTCAATGACTAAGATACCCTACCAGGTGCACCAGTGGCAAAGGTAGCATTGATATTCTCTCGAACTCCATCTCGCTTCCATTGCGAGAGGGCCATCCAGAGAATCTTCTGCGGCGCACCGGCACACTTGATAATACCAGCTGGCTGGGTAAAAATTGCATTGCCTTGCTTGAAGCCCTGGATGTTCTTCCAGACATTCTCGACAGTCTGAGCAGAGTAGATAGAACTGACAGAGCTGGCAGGGTCCTGCAGGGCCTCAGAGAGGCCAGACACGGCGCCAAAGTTGGTCTCGAGACCCGGAGCGACGATGAGGTAGTCATAAGAGACTTGCGTGCCCTCAGAAGTCTTGACCACATTGTTTTCCGGGTCAAAATTGGACACGTTCAAAGGGTAATGCTTCACCCCAGCTGGAATTACTGATGGTAGCGGGCGCTGCATAGGAGCCAGGGGCTTGAGTCCCGAGCCGACGAGCGTCCATCCTGGCTATAGGTACCAATCGTATTAGTAATACGTCCCCTTTGGCATGGAGAGAGCATAGACGTACCTGGTAATGATGCGTGGCAGCGGGGTCTAGAATGGCGATATCCGGCTTCTCAAGTTGTTTAGAGCGAGATAACTGTGCCGCAACAGTCACACCAGCAGTGCCTCCTCCGACGATGACGATACGATGATGAGTACTGGCTGGAGCTGAGGTTGCATAGCCTCTCATCACCGGTGCAGAAAGTCTGCTAACAGCCCTACCCAAGGAGGCAGAGGACAGCGTTCCAACTGCAGCCATGATGTGTACTTCGGCAGTGGGTTCAAACGGGCAGTGATATCGATAAGGGACAGTGTTTGAGCCGCACTCCTAAGTAACTAACTTAAATAACAATAATACGTCCAGCAATAGAAGTTGGGCGCTGCACCACCTGGGCATGTTTTCCTGGTCGGATGGTATTAGAGATACACTAGGGTGGTCACGTGAAATCACGCAACAGGAGCAAATTCTCACACCAAATTGCGAGGTACGTGCCATCACGCGACTAATTTTCCGCTAAAAGCTGCTTTGGCCCAGTGAATTTAGCGAAGCCAATCCATTCGGTATCCTAGCTTGACTCTTGTTCCAAAGGTAATGCTACAGAGACGTTGTGTCCAAAAGAGCAGAGTTCCCCACCCAATAAAGCAACCATAATTGCATATTCATTATATGATCGTACAATAAGATGAATTATTCCTCACGAGAAACCGTGAGGCTCGCGCTGTGCCCCTACAAAGGTGTCTCGTCCGATATTCAGACGGTATTAGTGGTAGCACTCTCGTCACCCACTGCCACGCTTGCGCCTCTCATTACACTGTCAAAGAATGCTGTGTCAACACCTTGAAAAGCCCATTCATCCATGCTAGCGACCAAGTTCGTATATGAGAATGGTCCTTCTAAATCCATCGCCGCGCCTGTGATAGGTCTGGCGGTGGCGTGAGGGCTGGGGATATCCGTCGGAATTGACTGAGTCTGAGGTTCTATCATCATTTGCGATAATTGCGCCGCTTCGGTCGAGTCGACAAGTGGCCTCGCTATTTCGAGCGATGGTTGGCCAATATTAATGGACCAGATCGAGTTGGCTACATGAACTGATCCTGTTCCGTCCACCGCCCATGGGGTTTGCGAGGTCTGAGTTTTGGTATCCATGGCCTCTAGTGGTTCTTTGGAGATGTTACCGCCTCTTGCGATTCTGATCATGCCGAAAAAGGGAATGGACAGGTTGAGAGCAATAGATTCGTCCTCCTGTTTCCCGTCTGCTGAGTCAAGCTTTGCACAGCTGTCGCCTAGTCCTTGTGATGCATCCTCCTCAACGAACAACAGACGCCGGAGCAATAGCGCGCTCTTCTCTGTGAGTAGGTCTCCATTTAGTTTTGCGAGAAGCTCCATGTTTTCAAGCACTTGAGTCAAAATAGCACGGTCGCCAAGCCGCTGATGAGCCAGGAAGTTGTGTGGTGCTCGATGGCAGTGGCTATCAAGGTGTGCAAGTAGTAGCGTCAATGCCGCCATGAGTGCGAAGAACTCTGCTGGCCGACAGCAGCAAGTGATGCGATTGAAGTTTCGGAATGCGACAAAACGCGTAAGTATCTCTCGGCTGGCATTGACGCTTGTGACTCTGGAGTATTCGTACCTGCTATCAATCTTGGATCGAAGCAGGTAGGGTAGATGAAGCATGTTGAGAAGAGTGTAATGGTAAAGCTGGTCGACGAGACGCATTGACTCCCAGAAGGCATCCATTGAATAGTTGGCCGTACTAAGGAAGGTAGGTGGTAGCCAAAACTCGTCTGGTAGAGTTTTCGCTGCCCTAAGAAGCTCTGAATCGATCCGTTGAATATCTTCGAAATCATCTAGTTTTGGGCCCCGCTCGTTTCGTTCGAGGATCCGGGCAGCAACGACTGCATGGACTCTCTCAAGCTGACCTGTCGGTGTATCATTCTCCATCGCTGCCCCGGAGGCCATGCTTTTATCGGTAGTTCCCTGAGGAAGACCAAGCATTAAGGAGAAGAATCTATCCATGTAAACGATTCGGAACCACAGGAATCGAGGATCAATATTAGCGGTAGGGTCAATCGACCTCGGAGGAAGCGAGTCTGGTCGATGTATTCCCATCATCTTGGCTACCATCATTGCCCTTCTAAACGCGAACCAGGACCGCCTGAGGTTCCCCGTATTACTCTGATAAACGCCCTCTAGTATTATGCATTCGAGGCACTCCGTCGAACCATAGAGCTCTTCGTTGGTTGTGACTAGCTTGATGGCAGTGTCCGCTAGCCTTTTCATGATAGCTTGCGGGTGCTCCGATAGTCCCCCAGTTTGATGGGAAGGCAGCTGTTGTAAGAATAGAGCAAACACAAGCATCCTTTTGGCTAATAGAACGGGATGCGTGCTGGGAGGCGGAAGCCTGGCTAGATTGCCAGCCAATTTGATTCCATCATGCTCAAGCTTGATATGTGGTGTTGTGTTGACCTCTTGGAAGTAGGTTGGAGAATAGCAATCGGTCTTACACAACTCTTCCAGGTCAATCTGCGAAGGGAAAGTTGCTAAGAGTACTTCGGAGAGGGCTGCATGCTCTGGCTGAGATGAAGGTGGTAGCTGATCTTGAAGCTCTATCGTCTTGATCGGTGCTGAAGAGGCTTCCACATTGGCAACCATGCTTGTCGGTGTAAGAACATTCTGTTTTCTCAAACTGGTAATCTCTTCAACCAACTGGCTTAGTATTGTTTCCACCTTTTCGAGGCGCATAGATAACTGGCCAGGGCTGTCTCTCGCAGAAGTCTGTTCGGGGAACTCCTGACTGACGCAATTTGTCCTTCGGCCGCGACAGGGTAGACATGCTGAATCACCCTCAAATTTGTACACGCATCGAATCTTCCGCCTCTTGCATTCCCAGCAGCTGCGCGTTCCTTTCCGGAGGCTCCTTGTTTTCGATCTGCGCGCATCATACTCCGGGCTCTGTTCGCCTCCTCGCTGTGAGACAGGAGTAGAAGCCATTTGATATCGCTATCAGCTAGGTTGAAGTCATTGATTGAAGTATGATATGACTTTCAAGCAGTTGCGTCAAACTTGTCAAAGATCATGCATGTGATATGGCTCAGGACCAGAGTCATTCGCGTCCGCCGAATTCGACGGAGCAAGTTGGATCCGCTAACGCCGAGCGGCTTAGTGAAAATACTCCGAGCTAGGTCCACTTTAGGTAAGCCCTTCGATTTTTTACAGCATTTACGACCTCAATCACGCCCCACAAGCACCTTTTGAAGCGGCGAACTGTGAGTGTGAATGCGGCGCCTGAGATGACAGGCCATGCACAAATTGTAGAGCAATACTTCAAATGGGAATATTGAACTATGTTGTGAGCTGTTGAAGTCTCTTTGAGTGGCAGCTAGCCAATCCATATATGTTACACTAACTATCAATAACTGAATACAGGCTAGAGCACCCCAAGAGCAGCCTTGAAGATACCATACCACAGATTTTCCACCATCGTCACTTAGCAATCCGAAAGACCCGCTGACACCCGTTCTTGGATGAGCTGTTACACCAATACCCTGTTCCATTAAAGTAGCCTACGATTGGTGGCTGTAACACGATAAAGAGAGCTGTTTCAATCAACCAAAAATGTGGCAACCCTCCTTTGATGTATGATCGCAATGGCTATAACAAGTGAGTGAGCTAGCTTATCGGGATTTGAACAAGTTCGCGGGGTTCCGAGGACTGAGGCAAGCATTACAAGCTCTTTGCAATTGCCAAGAGCTGGGCATTATTCGGCTGACGTGAGGATTACTATCGAAGTTTTTATTAAGATGTGTTTAGCCATGGAAAAAAAAGCCATGAATTTGCTCTCATTCAATCTATGCCGGTGAGTCTAAGTGTGGGTGTCACAAAAGCTCAAGACGCGACAATATGTCCCAGACGACCTCGTACTGCATACAGCCAGTCAGAAATGATTATCAGCTGAGGCTTGGTCCACTCGGCTTACAATCCGACCAAGCTGTCGGGTCCTTCCTTCAAATCAAAACCATGGATGAGACTGCGAAGATGACCCAGTCTACGGAACGTCGCGATGTATCCTTTAGCTAGCATTGCCTGTTTCTGTAATTTTCCACTGCCCATTTTCCCAATTGATGGTAGGTAGGGCTGCAAGCTAGTGGGCCCCCCTCCGTCATCAGGGTCATAGGCTATGCCCCTGCCTGAGACTGGCCTGGTAATTTACACGAATCGTGCATGCACCACGCCGGAATCCCTTGCTAGCCGTCCGTTAGCTTCAGGGCGCATCCCTGACATCCACGAGCACTTGCCCCTATGATGTGTGAACTGGCCAATTCCAGTTCACGGATTAGACTTCGCCTCGAGAAGGATTGATTTGCAGGATTGCATTTAGTTGCGCCAGCGGCCCAGCGGGCGACGTATGGAGACGGGACCCTTGCGCCGTGGCTCTCTTCAGCATGAGCTCTAGAGCATTAAATGCCCATTGCTTGACGTCTTCAGTCGGAAACCTCGCACCTCCAGCGTTCTGACAACACAGTCGCAGCACGATGGCACCGCTATCGCCCTTCTTACCAGAGTTTGGCAGCCCGCTGGGCATAGCGGCGATTGCGTTCGTTGTTATTGCTAGCCTGTATATCATCAATTCATTGATTAGCCCTCCGTTCCCCAAGGATGTACCCTACATTAGGGAACCGCCAGGAAAGCGAAGCTTCAGCCTCCGGACACGATGGGCGTACCTTACCGACTGCCAACCTCTCTTCCGCGAGGCATACGAAAATGTACGCGCTTAGGTTTTGCATTGATATTGAAACGTACACGATGGCTGACTCTTTTCGAACAGTACTCCAAGAAGGGCAAGCCTGTCATCATCCCGGGCTTTGGTGTGCGAAAGGAGCTCATCATGCCAACGAGTTCAATGCGCTGGGTCCAAGCTCAGCCGGATACTGTCCTGAGTGTCACGAAGGCATTCTCAGATGTAGATCAGGTGTACTACAGTTATGGCCACAAAAGATACGTCGAAGATCCGTGGCAGGGGATGCTAGTCAAGAACAAGATGAATGCTGTTCTGGAGAATATTGTCCAGGCAATGAACGACGAGCTCCAAGTTGCTTTTGATGACGTTTTTGGCACTGATGAGCACAACTGGAAGGAGCTTGATGTGCTGACAGCGGTGAAGATCGTTGTGTCGCAAGCAGCTAGTCGTTTCACGGTTGGGTTGCCTCTGGGTTCGTACTGGACATGGAATCTCCCGCTGGTCATAAACTAATCTGTGATCAGCTCGAAACAAGGAATACATGAAAGATTGCTATGACTCGGTCGATAGCGCCATCATGACTGCTGGTGTTGCCGGAGGTACTCCTCACGTTCTACGACCCATCGTCGGAAGACTGGTGGGCTTGAAGAGTAGACTTGCCATTCGCAGGATGAGAAAGCACTTTGAACCAACATACCGGGAGAGATTGCCGACACTGAAGTTCGCCGAGGATGACCCGCAACATATCGAGCCCCAGGATCATCTGCAGATGATGCTGCGCTATGCACAGAAAGAAAGACCGGAAGAGCTATCCCTTGACGGCATGGCACGGCGTGTGATGGCTGCTAACTTCGGCTCAATGCATCAGACGAGCATGCAGGTGACGAATATGCTTCTCAATATCATTGGGTCCGACGCTGAGTTTAACACAATTGCGGTCTTGCGCGACGAGGTAGCAAGAGTCCTGGGCGACGACAAAGTGTGGACTAAAGCACATATTGCCAAGATGGTGAAATCCGACAGCGTGGCCCGTGAGACTCTACGCTGTCAGTCTTTTGGAGGACGAGCCTTGTTCCGAAAAGTCATGGTTGACGGCGTGGTGACGGACTCCGGCCTAAAGCTTCCCAAGGGCTGCATGTTCTCATTCCTGGGACAGCCAGCACAGCATGACGAGGACATCCACGACGAGCCGCTGAAGTACGATCCCTTCCGGTTCTCCCGCGTTCGCGAGACGGTAGCCGACTCATCCAAAGCTCCCGCTCTAAGTTTTGTGACCACCAGTCCCGATCATCTACCCTTCGGCCACGGAAGGCACGCCTGCCCGGGAAGATTTCTCGTTGACTTTGAGTTGAAGATGATCATTTCGTATGTGCTCATGAACTATGATCTGAAATTTCCAGATGAGTACAATGGCAAGCGGCCAGCGAACAGGTGGATGGCTGAGGCGAATGTGCCGCCGGCTGGAGCCAAAATGCTTGTTAAAAGACGCAAAGCCACATAGCACTCAATTGAGGGAATGCAACCTGTAAATTTATACAAGAATTGTAGTTCAATTTAGATTCTCACAGGTGATCCATCAGCCGCATCGGATCTCGAAAAGGATCCGAGTCTCACTGCAGACCTTTATTCCAATAGCCGAGGGTCCGACAGGCGATCACCTATGCAGTGTCACCATCAGCAGTATCATTAGGTCAGACATAATTGGTGATAATCGACGTCAAGCGCAGCTTGCATTCCATCGATTCATTCACACACGATGCGAATCGAGGCTATTGATAGATCCGAAGTACTCAACAAAGGGTATCATTGCTATGATAAAGCACGCTAACAAATGCAAGACCGCCATGCTATCTATAATTTGGTATTATGCAGTTTAAACATTTGTCGATTTGCCGTGACCGCCGCTTGCCTCCTCCAGGCTTCGACGCGCCTCCTCAGACTCAGAAATCCTCGACATTGCAACAGGCGGCGGAGGTGTTGGGAGACTCATTTCCGGTGCTTTTCCACTGGCCCGACTGCTGAGCTGCTCGCCGTTGATTGCTTGAGACTCATTCGCCTCTGTTGTTTCCGTCTGTCCCTGACCTCGATTGACCACCTCGGCGACGTACTCAGACGACGGTGTCTGACTCCGCTTTCGGTGTCGAAGGATCAGTAAGACGACTCCTGCAATTAGGAGCGCTCCTAGACCTGCACCCAGACTAGCTCCCACCACCGCCGGGACTGAAGGCATGCCTAGGCCACGCGGGTCACTGGAATCAGAATCACCGTCCCCAGAGCCTCCAGAGCCACTGCCACCGCCACTTCCTGTATACGATGTTGCAGTCCCTGTATAGCATCCATAACTGCCGCACTTCAGGGTAGCAGAAGGAATCGTGGCGCCGTACACGGGGAATGGGACAACATTGCTCTCATCAGACCCAAAATTGACTGGAGCAACAGCGACCTCGTCATTGACTAGATCAAAAACGGTATATGTCCGGCGTAGCAGCGTGCTGCCCAGGGTATAGTAGTCATCGTAATAGTAATAGTAGGAGCTGCTGTTTTGGATACCAAATAGACACTGCGTGATTTCACTGCTTGTGTCCCAGCTCCAGGTTGAGTCGACAAATTGATCAGCCGAGATCACCAGGTCAGCCATGGTCGCTTCAATGATAGGGCCATCGGTGCCGGCGAGCTGGAACGTGAACGTCTCAGTGCTGTTGGCGGCGTCGCATGAAATCAAAGCTCTTCCCCAATCTTCATCATATGTGGCGCCGACCAATTGCCAGATTTGTGTGGCAATATCTGTAGGCAAGATGGAGATAGAGTCCGACGGCGAAACGCTAACTGACAGCGGCAACTCCACGGAGTCAAGAGTATAGACAGACGAAGAGTCGTCAGTAGTGGCGTTGATTGAGTTAAGATAGATCCCAAAAGAAAGGTAGTTTGAGCTGTACTTGGAAGCGTTGATGCGAGTTAAATTTCCTGAGAATTTGGCGGTGTCGATGGCTCCGAAAAGTAGGCTTCCGGTGGTAGCCCTCTCGTCATCGAGCCAGACGCTATATGCCGTGCTGTTGATCAATCCATTTTCTAGAAGACGGTCCGGAAGATTTGAATAGGTGCTATCGTTGTACCCGATGCCCAAAGTTCCAATCCATCGAGAGGTCTGATTGACGAGACCCATGGAGAAATTGGTCACGCCCACACCTCCCAGGTCAAGAACATCATTGAAGTACTCTCCATAACCATAATTGCCATCAGTGTAATCATATGAAAAGCCACTGCTGGAGTAATAAGAATCTGAGTAATCGCTAGGTGCTTGAGCCTCATAAGTGGACGACTCTTCAAACTCGACTGCGTTGAGCTATTAGCAGATGACCCGGAGACAACTCTTCACCAGCGCAGTCGCAAAACTTACAAGTGCCCCATTTGCAGTATTCGTCAGGCTCGTATTCGGTGCATTCGTATGAATGAGCATCTGGAACCCAAGTGTCTGACGCCGAGGGTGAGATTATCAATGACACTGGCTGTCCAGGTGTCCCGACGGTCGCATTCACGACGTAAGTCCATTCTGCCCACCAGAGCTTGGCCTGAACTTCATTGTCGCGCCGGGAACTTTTGACATATTTGTGGGCGGCTTGTTTAGCGAATGACAGCTGCACGACAGCGCTGGCGAGATCGGCGCTGATCAGCGCGTAAAGAATGGTAGGCTTCATGCTTGAAAACTGGAAACGAATGGCTGCGAAGGGAGTCGCATACTCTTTCTATGTGTTATCCCAACAACACACGCCCACGTCCACGCCGGAGTCAGTGACGTTATTAAGACCGCACGAAAGATGAATGAAGAGGGTGAAGAGGCAAACATTCAAGAAAAATTCGGCGAAGTCCTTCGTGTTGGCTTTGGTCTCGACTCTTGCCCCTTTGTGGGGTGCTGCCAAGCTTATGTTTATTTTAAGCATCCTTGGGCATGTTCTATGATTGGTTCCAGGCCTGTATCCGAGATGAACCAAGCCAACTCTCTGGTGGTCCCTGGTGCTGTGCCGCCTCAAAATGCCCACTAGAGCCCACTAACCTGGTTAGACCACCCTCGACTTAGGCACCCGCCGGCCTAGAAGGCCCGGAATAGCCTCATGAAATCCAGATCACGGTGGTTGCCTCTGCACGAGACTAACACAAACCTCCGTTTGTCGACTCCCATTCTCATTCATTTCTGAGTCAATCCCATGTCGAAAACGTTTCCTCCTCTATAGTCTACCATCTAAGATGCAAATCTAAAATCCAGCCGTTTGTTGCCCGCGTCGTGAGTTGTCGCCAAGTACTGAATTCGTTCGTCTTCGGACATCCTGTTCCACACACTCTCCCGGTAGCGATTGCGCGAAACGTAGTAGACCTTCGTAAGTGCATAGAGCGTGATGTTTAAGCCTACGATACTCAGTAGCACGCTGTTCCCGCGCTTGTATTGAGGCGCGTCGTCTTCCCTGTATATATTCGAGGCAATAACTCCTCCCCTAAGCACAGCTCGTCAGATAGGGTTATGAATGTCACAGACAGGTTCTACGTACGCTTGAACACACATGTTATACATGGCGGCTCCAACTGTCCGGCTGCGAACGGTGTTGGAGTTTCTAGAAGCCCAGCCAACTTGAATTGGATGAGCTAATGAGATGTGTATTAGCCTCCAGTGCTGCTCACAACTGAAAATTATTCCTACCGTAAGGATTGCCCAGAAATAGGGTCATGACAAACCAGACCAACCACTTTGATGTCGCGCCCGTGTCCGTGAATCGCAGCCATAGCAAGAAAGGAAGAGACCAAAGTTGAGGTATAGCAGCAACCAATGATAATTGGCCTAGTATCTCTCCGGCATATGTGAGAATCAACATATTCATCACTAAAAAAAAGGTTAGCAGTTGCGTCTCAAAGACCTAGACACATCGACTTACCATGGAGAAGCTGGGATGGAATGACAAGCAAGTTAGTCTGGAAAGTCGAGAACCCAAGACTCTTGAGAGATAGTGTAAGATATATGCTTGGTGTCCCATATGGAATGTGGTTTGTTAGGCCAAGAATGTAAATTGGCCATAGATCATAGTCCATCAAGCTGCGCCAAAGAAGCTTGAAGGTAATAGCCTCCCGATTATGCATAGTTCCCTTGGATGGATCATCTCTGATCACCCGGTTGACAATGATAGTCTCTTCACTGTACATACGTCAGTTCTGGTACCTAAGCCAATCACATTGAGGGACTTACCGTGCAGTGAACCAACCCTTCTTGCCTCTAAACCAACTAGCAGTCTGTGTAGGACCAGCAGGCATCAATCCAAATGACAGGATTCCAAAAATCAACGTCACCAACCCCTGTCACCTTGTCAGTCTTGCTAAATCATTGTACTGTAAAGCCCCACTCACCTCTATGAGGAACAGCCATCTCCATCCAGAGTAGCCCAGAACACCTCTCATGTGCAACAGCCCAAACGCGGAAAATGCAGCAAATATATCAGCAAACACCATCGCTGTCCAGAAGAACCCTAGTCTTATCGAGAGCTCATGATGCTTGTAAAAGTAAGATAAATACAGCACTACATCGGGAATGAAGCCGCCTTGCAAAAATCCCAGTATCGATCGACATATAAGAAAAGATGCTCTACCACTCAGGTGGAACTGGCTAGAGGCAACGATAGACCAAAGCACCATCTGAATAGGAATCCATCGATCCGGTCCCACCCATTTGCTCACCAACTGAGATGGCACCTCCGCAGTGAGAAATGATAGGGAGAAGATGGAGTTGCCGAGGTTGTAGTCTGCGATAGGCCTTCAGTCACGTTCGACAAGTCAAAGCTCTCATTAAGATAACATACCGTTAGTTGTTAGACCCAAGTCATCCAAGAGGTTGTCAGTCACCGCCTGTCGTATGTTTGCACGGTCCATTTCCAAAGCACAGAACATGAGGCACGTCCAGATCATGATTCGCAGGTCAATCTTTCTTACGAGCCTTCGTTCTTCGGCCCATGTCCATCGAGCCTCCGGTTCGAAGCGATGTATATTCTCCCTGTCAAGGGTCAGGGTGATATTTTCCATGCTCACAATCATACTCACCAGTCTGGTCCTGGCCTGTATTGCTCAGCTAGGTCTGGATCGTCATAAACACTGGGCTGGGTTGGTCAGTGACCATTCTGTTACTTGTATTTCCAACATGTCACAGTACCTGAGTTGCAATAGATTCAGGCGCATTAGGCTCAACCTTTGAGAACCAAAATCTCCTCCTGACCTCAGGCTCTCCAAGATCTGTGCTGGACCTAATCAATGCTGTGGTGACATCCGCGGCCTCCTTGCTGATGTCAGACCCGGCATCTGAGAGAGCATCATCGTCGTCATGTCGCTTGAACGAGACAAGTCTAGCCATGTTGTTAATGAAATAAACCCTAGGTCCTCCAGCTCAAAATGCGTGTATGAAGCTGTCTTTGTTGTCCTGCATACCTTATATTGTGGCTGCTGCTTTCGGCTGGGTATGCGTCCCATTCTTGATCGCTGCTGCTAGCAGCCGAGCTCATTGCGGGGGTGTGTAAGACGCGATCTTAGGGGTCACCTTGCGCATGCCATTGATCACTCGTATCAGCCATCTGATACAGCTTCTAAGACAGTGGGACAATCTAAACAGCGTGCTAGTGTGGCGCGGTGCAGGATGGTCCAGTGCAGTCAGTTAGAGGCAGTGGGCTGAAGCACTAAGATCGCTGGACACCTTCTCAAGCTCCCGTCGACGACATCTGCCTACTAATTGCGTGCTTATGGAACTGCTGCAGATCCAGGTATTGAGCGTGGGGAGTTCATGGCGTGCTTTTAGGATGAATAGCGCAGCCGCACCGTGGCCCTGGAGGCGTTTGACCACAACGAAATGGCGCGCAAATCAACACAATGCCAGCCCGCAACGGCTAGTCTCAGGGCTCTCGGGAAGAACAATTGATCTTATCGCCGGCAATCGCCAACTAACTATATAAAATGAAATGTACTTTTCTTGCGAGCAGACATTGTGATTGGGCGGTGGGTTGGTGGGCGTGTACACCTGGTTCTGGCGTGTTGTGATATTGATGAGGGATTGCGCCATCGATACCACGAAGCTCGACTCCACCGTCCCCGCGAAAGGCGTTGCCGGCCACCAGAATAACAGTTGAATCCATGCAATGTGTATGAGAAATTTTACGGGGACGGAGTCCGTTTAGGAGCTGCTTTGATATCTTAAAGGTGGAGGGAAATGTCGAAATCTTGCCCTGAATTGTGTCGTTGATTCACCTTGAATACCCACCATTCGGCCTCATTCCTCCCACCAAGAATATGCAGCTGCCGAAAGCGCTTATCTCCCTGGCCATCGCCGGGTCCGTCACGGCATTTGGCCCGGAGGATGCGATCGCTGCTCAGCATCCTCTAGGACCTGGGCTGCACAAAGCCCCAAAAAGACCCAATATTGTGTTCATCTTGACTGATGACCAGGACCTGCATATGAACTCATTGGACTATCTCCCACACATCAAAAGGCACATCAGCGACCGAGGAACTCACTTCAAGAAACATTTTTGTAGCACTGCACTATGCTGCCCCTCTCGTGTGACTCTGTGGACCGGGAAGCTGGCGCACAACACTAATGTAACAGATGTCAATCCTCCGTATGGTAAGCTGACGTCCATGAGTTCTGCCAGGATAGAGTTAACAATGTTGATTGGTCAGGCGGCTACCCAAAGTTCCTTAGCCAGGGTCTCAATGAGAACTATCTCCCTGTTTGGCTCCAAAAGGCCGGTTATAACACATACTACACTGGCAAGCTTTTCAACGCTCATAAAGTTGATAATTACGATAAGCCTCACGCCAAAGGATGGACAGAATCAGATTTCCTACTGGATCCTTATACATATGTATATCTGAATGCCTCATATCAGCGGAACCACGATCCACCTGTGAGCTATGAGGGACAGCACACGATTGATGTTCTCGCAGAGAAAGCTTATGGCTTGTTGGATGCTGCAGCAGAAAAGGATGAGCCGTTCTTTCTCGGTATCGCTCCAGTGGCTCCCCATAGCAATGTTGAGCTTGACATTCCCTTGGACGATCCGAGAGATATTGCACAGGCAAAGTTTACACCGCCGATTCCTGCTAAACGGCACGAGCATCTCTTCAAGGACGTCAAAGTCCCCCGCACGCCGCACTTCAACCCCGAAAAGCCATCTGGTTCCAACTGGGTAAGAGATCGTCCACGGCTCAGTGAAGAGAACGTGGAGTTCAATGATCACTTTTACCGTCAACGCCTTCGCGCCCTGCAGTCGGTCGATGAGCTTGTGGACGGTGTCTTTGAGAGGCTGGAACGCTATGGGCTTTTGGACAACACCTATATCTTTTACACCACCGATAACGGATATCATATCAGCCAGCATCGCCTACAGCCAGGAAAGGAATGTGGATTCGAGGAAGATATCAACATCCCCCTCATTGTTCGTGGCCCCGGGGTTCCTGAGAATGAGACCACTGAGATTGTGACGGCACACGTCGACCTTGCACCGACTATTCTAGAACTTGCAGGAGCACCTCTTCGTGCTGACTTTGACGGTGACGCTGTTCCTCTGACTAAGCTCGGCATAGAAAGAGCAGTCAAGGAGCGTCATGAGCATGTTACCGTTGAATATTGGGGTTTTGCTGCCTTTGAGGGCGGTGATTTCGACGATCAACGCATCATTATCAACAATACCTACAAGGCAGTGCGAATCATTAGCGGTTCATACAACCTTTACTATTCGGTTTGGTGTAACAACGAGCACGAGCTGTACGATCTCAACGTAAGTTTCTTTGAATGAGTGTTCGATATTTTCATTTCTAACAACGCATTTAGACCGACCCTTACCAACTCAAGAACCTCCTCCACAAGGATGAAGATACACCATTAACATTACTTGGTGTCCCAATCGAGAAGGTCATCAACCGACTCGACTCCCTTCTATTTGTTCTGAAATCATGCAAATCACAAACGTGCGTTCGCCCATGGGCAGCGCTACACCCACAGGGTAATGTGGGAAGTCTATGGGATGCATTGTCTCCAAGGTTCGACAGCTTTTACGTTCAACAGGAGAGAGTCCGTTATGACCATTGTGAGCTTGGTTACTTAGTGGACGCGGAAGGGCCGCAATTTGAGAAAGATGGCTTAGTCTACAGGCACGGTGCTAAATGGCATGAATGGGTGTAAAATGTAAATAACGAGTAAACTGTAAAGCGAGGCAAATAAGCACCTCATGGAGTATCAAAATTGAGAAAGGTCATGGAGCGCTTTCGGCCGAGGCTCACGAATGCGAATCGTTAAACAGTAATAGCATCTTCTTCGCAATAAGACCGAAAATTTGCATTACCACCTCCAAATTGCCCCAAGTATCCGTTTTGATAGTAGTTCGTAGATTTGGCAGGGAATTGGCTTTGTTATTCGCTCAAATCGATGGCGCAATCTTGCGCAATATGGGTCGTTCCCAAGCCCTGGGTTTTGGAACTAACTCCCGCCTCATGCAAGCGTGACTCTTGCCTACAACAGCTTTCCAATGGCCGCTATTCCTGCTATCTCTCGTACAATATTGATTAGGTATATTTCCGGTACGTGCCGTCTTCGCCGCCCGTCCCCGGTCCCAGGAGGTACCTTAATTGGCATTCTGATGGTGCGTGCTCTATTTTTCTGTTTTCGTACCTGGCAAGGTTTTTTCTTAGCCGTGCCCCGTGGTAGTAGTTGCTTACACCTACCAAACCTCACCACACGGGTTATACACGGATCGATTAGATGGCTGGTCAACCGAGCAGCGCGCCACAGGCATTAGGGATTGCGCCTGTGGATGCCACTGAGGAATCACCGCTGCTGAATCACAGAGAAAGCGAAGCAGTCACCAATGGATTGACTACCTTCGAACCATCTAAGAGTTCAACGGATTCTTCCAGCTCACAAAGCAGCACCTTCTCGGGGTCATCGACTGATGAAGAAGCTCTCATTGGAACAACTCCGGTTGAGGAAGTGCCGGGTCAGTTCAGCCACGCCGCGGTGCTGCGGATAATTCTGGTGTTACTCATTGGTGTGTGCATCATGCTCGAGCTTTTTGATACGACTCGCTAAGGAGAAATCTTCACAGCTGTCTTTGTGTTCAACGCTGATGGCTCACTTGTACTGGCGACCCATCCCGTCATTGCATCGGAATTCAATGCCTTGGAGTCGTCGAGTTGGTTGTTCACTGGTTTCGGTCTTGCCGGATCAGCAACCCAGGCCACTGTGAGATTCGCTTTGCCTCCATATCGCGGGATGTACTGACAAATTTCTAGTTTGGAAAGCTAAGTGACATATATGGACGCAAGCCTATCATACTTATGTGCTATGCCGTGTTTGCAATCGGATGGTAAGTCGAAGTTCCTCATCTTTGTGTTTGTTCGTACTAACATTCAATGTAGTATAATTGTGTAAGTTGGTTGGCTGCTAAAGATGGAGCGATATAGTGCTGACACACCACCAAGAGGAACGGGCCAGTCTATGATTGCTGTTATTCTGGGCCGTGTGCTATCTGGAAGCGTCGGGGCCGGAATGACAGTGCTCGTGTCTATCCTAATAACAGATCTCATCCCTATTAGGGATGTTGCAACGTGGAGAGCGTATGTCAATGTTGCCGCAACGACCGGCCGTAGTCTTGGAGGACCCCTTGGAGGCTGGTTGGCTGATGTTGTTGGCTGGCGATGGTAAGAACAATTCCAATTTCTTCTCTAGTCTGCAATACTAAATCGATGCAGGTCATTCTTGGGACAGGCCCCGATTCTGCTATTTGCTATTCTTCTATGTTGGAGATATCTACCGAATACCATGCCAAAACTGGCGAAGGGAGATCCTGCAGTAACAACGACGACGACAAAGAAGTTAGCAAGAGTTGACTTTCTCGGATCGTTCTTTCTCGGCTCATTAATTCTGTCGTTGCTCCTCCCGCTTGAGATCGGTGGTATCAAAGTGCCCTGGAATCACCCACTGATTCCATCCCTATTCGGACTTGCTGTTATATTCATTGGCCTCTTCATTGCCACTGAAAAGTGGTTGGCAAAGGAGCCTATTCTGCCCCTTGAACTGTTCCACCGCCGCGATGCTGTCGCATCATTCATAATCATGGGACTACAAGTTGCGGCACAAATCGGGGTAAGCCTCCCCACACACGTCTGGCTTGCTATTGTACTGACATGCCTTTTTATCTCAGCTGATGTTTTCCGTCCCACTATACTTTCAAGTAACGAAGAAAGTATCAAACACCGAGGCAGGCGCACATCTTTTCCCGGCTGTTCTGGGTAACGCCGTAGGAGGTGTATTGTCGGGTGTTTTAATCAAGAAGTAAGCTCAATCGAAGACCACTTCCCAACCTACCTGGACTAACAACAAGGGCAGAACAGGAGAATACAAGTGGCTGGTTTATTTTGCGACCCTATCCTCTGTCGCGTGTTATTCGATTCTTCTCCTACGATGGCATGGTAACACGAATTGGTGGGAATCTCTTTATATCATCCCTGGGTATGTAAATTATCGTCGTGACTACAATGAATTCTTCTGACCTGCTCAAGTGGCTTCGGAACCGGCGTTGCACAAAGTGTGTTGTTCGTGTCTCTTCAAGCTTCCATCGACCCAGTGCATATTGCACCCGCAGTCTCAACACTATACCTCACCACTGGCGTGGGCTCTATTGTTGGACTAGCTTGCATGAGTGCCGTTACGCAGGAAATTCTTCGCAGCACATTACACGTTCGCCTAGTAGAACTAGGACTTAGTCCTGCCGAACAACAAGAGGTATGCCATTCAACGGAATAACATTAGTTTTATTTACTAAAGTGATATAGATCATCAGCAAAGCTGTCTCAAGCGTTGAGTATGTGTATCAAATTAAGGGCAAGATCTCCGAGGCTGTCGTTGCGTCATATGTCGACGGCTTATGGTATAGCCACGGAGTTTCGCTCACATTCGCGTTTTTAGGATTTGTTGGTGCCTTCTTTTTGAGGGAACATAGACTGTAGAGAATGAATCTAAATAGATAGAGAACGTTAATTGTTAGTTTTTAGAGAATGAACTTCTGTCCGAGGACTACGAAGCCGCGTTCGATCTAAACCACAACATTCTAAACAATCATCCGAACTTTGAGCTTATCACCCTGCACGATCTCCTCTTCTTTGGACAACAGCTCTTCCACATCCCAAGTAGCAGAGACATATCTAGCCGCTAACCATTCTCTTCTCTTTTCAGTCAAATAGACCAGTGTATCTGCACACAGTTTAGGTGTTTCTGTCAAAGCAGCATGTCGCTCTTTTGGAAGTCTTTTGCCCATGTCTGTCATCACGCCGCCAGGGTGAATCGCAAAAGTTAAGATGCCATCAGATCCATAGTCGACATCTAAGAACTCTGTAAAACGTAGCAGTGCAAGTTTGCTTGTTTGGTAGGCGGATGCTCCAGGAGACAACAGATGCGCTGCAAGACTGCTCACGTTGACAATGATTTTATCTCCACCCTTTGACAGCATTTGTGGCAAAAATGCTCGAGTGACCAAATATGGCCCGTTGACATTGACATTCCACGTCTTCCACCATTCATGTGGGTCGCTTTCGGCTATCTTCTTACGCTTCTCCAGATATCCCGCATTATTAATCAGAATGTCCACGCGCGGGAAGGCCGCCGCTATCGTGTTCGCAGCCGCTGAGACGCTGGCCTCATCCGTCACATCTAATTCAACAGCTTCAACCTTTGGCGCCGGCTTGCCTGCAGCGGCTGCCGCTTCTTTGATGAGGGGGATGAGAGGCTTAAGATCAGATCGGGCGCCGATTCCGATACCTGCACAACCAGCACTTGCGTAGGAGAGGGCAGTCTCCCAGCCTATTCCTTTGGACGCTCCAGTGATGAACACATATCTGCCGGCGAAATCTCGCTTGCTCGGTTCAATCGCCGGGTACGTATCCTGATGTCGTTGCGAAGTGAAGTGGAAGCCTAGGTGACAGAGACCAGTTTAGCTTTTCTCCTGTTGGAGCTGTGACAAGATCACACGAACCAGTATGAGGAGCTTCTGACATCTTGGCCGATTCTCGTCTCGTTTCGATTACACGATTGCTTTCTATCCCTAAGGTAGTATCTATCTGTGAAATTACATGAGAGAGGGAGATTTCCTCTCAGTTTAGTCAATGACGCGATGGCGGTACCGTTATCAAAGCCCCGCTAATGACCAGTAGCTTGAGATCGTGCCCCTCACTACTGTTGGACCGGAAAGGGAACTAACATCATACCAGCAAGTGGGACAGGCCCATCAAGATGTCCAGACTGGAAAGAGAGTTTTGGCTATAATCTAAGAAGAAAATACAGTGACTTCGATATCCCCTTGAGGCTGCAAGAACCGTGTAACCGAGAAAGAAGTATGCTGGGTTACCTCGTCAAGAATGATGAATGTTGAGGTCAGGCAATTAATTGACTTGACACTGCTGCAGTGACTATGATCGAGTGGCACAAGAGGGTTGCTGTCAATTCGTTCCAAGAAACTAGGAGGCCAAGGATAGGTCTTTAGATTTGCAGTGTAATATCAAGCGATTCACTTGTTAAAAATGATACATAACACATATTACACCGTGAACTAAGCAGAAGTGAGCGCGCCGATTGGCATTAAAGTAATTATAGTACAGGCTTGATCACCGTCGAAATGATATGCAATGTGTAGAACTAACGCACCGATATGATATTTTCACCGAGTTTATTGACTTGAGATATTGTGAGTAATTCAACGCCATTCTACACAAGGCTACCACGGAAGGTACCGAAAAGAAAAGGTACTTTCAATTCGGGGTTACATGGGAGATGTGTGCTTTCGGTATGAATTTTACGGCAGAGTACCGACATACCATCTGCCTTGACATGCAGATATTTTATACTCGAAATAGAAATGCACGGAGTCTGCACTGGCTCCTTGCTGAGCGATATGCTGTGGAGTTCTTGATGCGGTAGCATGCACGATCTTCAACTAAAAGCTGACATGTAGCTCGTTTATCTTTAATATCCTGCCGTGTGAGGTTGCATCTCGCTACCACACTTTGGTGTGAGTAGTGACGTTTGCATATCGCCAGCAAGAAAGTTACTGACCAAATTCTGACCGAATGTTTTGAACAACCATCACGTCCCCGTCGAAAGATAATAGACTCTTCAAGTTCCTTAGTCTTGGCATTAAGGCAATATTTTCGTTAACAAGACAGGCTGAGCTGGTTCAATAATGTATACATATGAACAATATATTAGTCCAATCAAGTTCAAATGACTGTGAATCTCCTAAGAGACTAAAAGGTATCAACAATCAACATTCACCCCAAGACGTTTTCTTTTACTCCTGGCCATAACTTCATACCTTGCCTCCAACGCAAATGCCATCAGACGAAGCAATGTAATTATCGACGCGAACTTGAAGACTCTTCCAACACGATGTCCTTCTTAACCTCAATTCCCGGCACGCCAGGATCTGAAGGCGGTGGAGTTGAGCCCACCATGATCTTGGTGGATACAGTACTTCGTAGACCCAGAGTCTGCTCCGCCTTCTCTTGCGTATTAGGTGAGGCAGGCAGTGACTCGGAGATATTGAAGTCTCGATCATACAGGATATCCGTCGGATCACGCACACTGCTCAACCTTGCATTACCAGCTTCGAGATCACCGTAGTAAAGCTGATCCTCGCTGCCCGACCGAGCCGTGACTGCTGTGACGGATGTACGTCCGGCGCTGCTTTGAGCAGCCTCTGTGCCTTCATGATGCTCGGCATATCCTTTATATTCTTTGCTTCCGAACTTCGATGGACCAGAGTGTGATCCCATCCAATGAGGCTTGTACTTCATAATGAAAGGGCGGAGAGTCGGCAGGCAGGCGCACACTATGCCCGAAGACACCTCACCAATGGACCAACTCGAAGACGCAACATTCTCCCAAGTGAAGTCCTTTGCTTGATGAAGATACTCAATGCGAACGACTGAGATAGCGCATGTGCTATCGACACAGTTAGCCTGATCCAAGAGCAAAGCTCGTGCAAGGGGTCGACATACAAAAATCCCAGGCTGAAGATGCCAATGAGCATGATCTTCTGGGCTCTTCTCAAGTTCAGTTTGCCCAAAACAGGAAGAGGCAGAACAAATATAGCGACATCAGTAGCAATATTTCCTGCGGCATTGATATACCAGAAAGGGTAGTTGGGAATGCAACTTCCGGATATGCTGTCATCCCAGAATTTGGGAATAGGAGAGCAATTGAAAGTGGCTACGAGCAGCTGTGAGACGGACCAGCACATGATGAGAACCGTGGCTACAATGATAACAGTCTTCATTTTGTGCACAGCAAGCACTCGGTAGTATTGTAGAAGGAATGTGAGTTTGATGCTCAAGATAGTTGCATTGTACATGACAATCGAGACATAGAAGGTCTAGGACACGGTCAGATTATCACTGGCGGACTTAGGGAGTATTGCTTACACGTAAGTACAGCTTGATCGTTGGCGGATCTAGCGTTCCTGTATGCCGACCGAGCCCATAGCTGATATCTAGCTGACAATTAGCATCATGGGATCATCGAGACTGTCTTCTAGACGTACTTGTAGTAATGGCGATTCCACAAGCAATTGCAAAGAACTGATGAAATATCAGCCAAGACGTCTCAAACATGTCCAGCAAGACACTCACAAGTGCTACGAGCATGGCATAATCGTCCATGCCCAACTGTTTGATCAGAAAACCGCGAGTATAGAAGCGGAGACAGACGGCCGTAAAGGCCATCGACAGAGTGGTTGTCACCACTGTAATCGATACCCATGACCTGTTTCCAGGACCCGAAGGGGCGTCCATTTTGGATACTTAAAGATCTTAATTACTATCGTACAATAAGTTCAATATCAATAGTCAATAGAAGCACAAAGCGGGCCTGGCTCGGACCACGACGGGATTGCTTCTATTATAGACCGGTCGCTCGCTTGTGTCATTACCGCTTGCGTGCCAAGAGGTCGTGTAAGATCGACATCACTCATTTCTACCAGAACTTTAACCATGTCAAAATGAGGGACGAGTTAGGGAAGCTGCGAGCCGTCCGGAGACAGCCCTGACGACACTATAGAACACAAATCACACATAAAACAGATTTTCCGTAGGGTCGCTTCCATGCACGAGAGTCGAGGCCACCCTCCCTCCAGCACGACCGGCAAACCTGCCGTGTGTTGGATCGAGGACTTTGCTTCGAGGTGTCGATCATTTACCGCAGTTGGGTCATGCTTGCCACCTATAGATGCATTAGAGCAGAGCTGCTTTGGGCATACTTATTGAGCTACTAGTACGAAATTTGCCAACACTTGTGAACTGTTCTGTACCATACTTCATTTGGAAGCCATTCGTGCGTCCGCAAGCTCTGTATCAGGACACGAACCTTGTGGACTCGCATTGCGGGGTTCGCAATGTGCCGGTGCTGTCCAAGCTCACATTTTCCCGCGCATGGTATTGTGCCCAAGGTACGAGGTTGGTATTTCTGACCAGTTTCACCGGTCCTCAACATCCGCTACGAATAACGAAGCATGCAAGCAAAACATTTTGAGGGCCCGGTCGCATAGAGGTGGCTTTGGTCGTACCACACCACCTGGCGTCTCTGTCTGGAAACGATGACCTGGATCAGCTCTAATCCGTCCGTGCACACGGGAAGATGTCGTTGAGGGTCACCTTGATGCGAACGACGTCAGATGAGACCTATACTGCCACATGTGCAGACAATAGCTGTTGACAAGTTCTTTTCTTTGTCTATGAAACTAATAAGTGAGGTATTCTTGGACTGAGAATTCGCACTTTGGCCAGAACATTGAAGGTGAAGAACTCTTCAAAGAAATAGGGTGAGACGAGATTCTGGTGCCCCCCAGAATGTCAAATTAGAACCCTCCGTCTATCCAGGATCTAAGAAACGTAGCCTAGTTGCGTGACGTGACAGTCCACACTGGTTTTACTCCTGCTCCAATGGACGCTTCGCCAGCCATGGTTGCGCCGAGGCCACTGTCGCAGCGGGGTTGGCTGTCTTCATCGAAGATCGCTTGCGGGGATGTCCTGACCTGTCAAGACCTTGTTGCACGCGAATCGCTAGGGCTAAGGCGGGGAATCCTTGCCCAAAATCACTTTCTCTAGGTGCTGAGATGCCTATCAGTCCGGCGATTTGAAGGCAGAATGCCCTTAGGCGCGTATGTTGTCAATCTTCTCAGATCAGCTTCCAAGGGTCATCTTCCTGCGCTCAATAGTTCGTAGAAGAGATCTCAATCTCTGCTAAAACTTACGTTTTCTTATTACACGTGCGAATTGTTTTGCATCAAGACTGCTAGGCTTCGTCTCTGTGATGTCAATACTGTCGTCTTGCTCGGTGCATGTCTGGCAATGCACTTTCGTCTCGGTTGAACACGAGAAACAAGAATATGACACCCAGTCTGGAATACCGCTGTCGTCAGAGGATCAGCTCTTCCAACCCCTCACCAGCGCGCGCTTTGACGATGGAGCCACACCTGTGTGCGCTCGGATGCTGCATATTAACGACCCATCCTTGACTCTCAAGCCACGCGACGACAAGCCGTTTGTTGCACTGCACAGATCCCTTTGGCCCCAAGTTCACCTGGACCTACTATAGAATCCTTCTGTAAGTGATAGCGACCGGTCATAACCGGGAACTCTTTGATCGCTTCTGCACGCTGTCGACGCAGGGACAGCCGTGCAAGATGACGACAGAGTGTACTGCAAGCTTTCTTAGGTTCAAGAGCACACTCGAGCGGCAGGTCATTACGCGAGAGTATCTCGCTGCGCGGGAAATAGTCCAGATTGCTCAGACCTGCTGCTTTGGGCAGTACGATGTTGTGAAAATTACATCGATGGGCCATGGTTGACATTCTCCTGAACTTCAGCGGCTACCGCGCGGTGTCAATGCGCGCAAAAGATGGTGGTCAAGTTCAATAGAAGACCAACATCCCTTCTATCTTCTTCAGGACGAGCCATCACCCCAAATGACGAGCTGAAGTCGGACTGGGTGTCTAAATTGTCCCAGTGATCGGCTAAGACCAGGACAATAAACCTTGGCTAACGATCGACTTCATCTGGATCGTGACTCTCGCCGAAGTCAAAGTGTACATTTGGGTTTGGTCCCATCGCACTTTCTAAGTGATACCTATGGCACTGTTCGTGACTGTTGGCGTGATTGCCAAGCGACGTAATACATACATCTCGGAATACAACAGTTCTAGCTTCTTCCATGAATGCTTAATATGTACAACATCTTTGAGGTGTATTCATAGATGGAAGAGGTGACTTTGCCAAATTTCCTGCCATCATCAAGAATGGCAAGTGCGTTGTATTCCGAGTAGCTCGGGAGCCACAAGTTAGGCGAAGCGGCTCTCCGTAGCGGCGGCTGCACGTTACCGTACCGTATGAGGTAGGTACCTACAGTAGAACTGGTCCAAGCTTCTGGCCAATTCTGTGGATCCGCTACCAGACATCGTCATTGGGACGAACTTTGGAGCCAATTCTTTACTTTCACTTCAATCGTTAAGTCGCATTTCCCTCTTCAACATCTAGACATTGCAGTCTCAACGCCAACTACACGACTTACTACCATATTAAGCGTCGGATGAGATTCAAGAGTCATATCCATGGGCTCATCGGCCTCCAAAACCGCGCAAGGGACTGCGCGAAAATTCCCAACCAGAGCTCCAGGAACAGCCGCTCCACCACCACTCCCACGCTCTACGAGACCACCTCCGAGCCAAAAGCCGTCACCGAGAGCATCACTTACCAAAGATGAAGGTATATTCTCCATTAACGCGGACATTTCTTGTAGTCATACTCACATAACCTAGCAATCCGCGCGGATTCAATAGACCCGCAGCTTCCCGAGACGATGAACCCGGCCTTTTCGGATAGACTTAAACAGCTCGGCGTAGCACAGCCAAACCCGACATACTCTCCCTCATCAATAGCCTCACAAATGTCTGGGAACCAGACCTCCGGTTCAAAATTTCCCTCAGCATCCAAGAACCCGACTTTGTCGGCGCTCCAAGCTCGGGACAGGTTTCAAAAGGAGGCAGACGAGGAATTTGGCAACATGGGCCGGTCTGGGAGCCAGGGCCGACAATACCTTGATATTGGGACGATACGGAACATCCTGGTTATGCGGGAACGAGGGGCAAGTCCGGAAGACATCGAAACCCGCTTCAACCTCAGGTCAGGGGTTGTGAATAGGCTTGGGGCTAGAGGACTCGTCAAGCCTCTAGGCGGTGCAGCACCATGATTACGACGAGTAACAATGGATGTGACGATATTGTATGGATTTTATGTATTACTATGGTGGATCTATAGCGCTACACCTCCCCATTCACCATTACGAATTAACGCAGAAAAAAGATCATCCAAGTCCAACAGAGTCCCAAACTCGAGGAACGCCTATGCTACCATTCAGGAATATCTATGGAGTCATCGTTACCACGCCGCATGGCCACCGTCAATTCTGAGATCAGACCCTATAGAAATCAAATTAGCATCTTTTAGGTTTGATTCAAGAGAAAATGGTGTTTACCGGTCATAAAGCTACTGGCGTCACTGAGGAGGAACACAGCAGCTCCGCGATATTCCTCAGGTTTGCTGAGTCTGTTCAGCATATTGTCCTTGGGCCAGTTCTCCAGGCGCTCGGGATATGTCTTGAACAAAGCGGCAGTCATGGCCGTGACGATGTAGCCTGGCGAGATGGTGTTGACGCGGATGCCATACTGACCCCATTCAGATGCAAGGTTGCGGGCCAGCTGGATGACCGCGGCCTTTGACGCGTTATATGCCCTGTTCGAATCAATTTCTGCTGTTCGCGTAAGACTTTCGACTGTGGTAACTCACGGGCAAATCAAACCGCGGTTCGCGATCGTGCCGCTCATGCTAGCAATGAGAACGAGGCTACCAGGCTGCTCGAGACGGCGCATCTGCCGTGCTACGGCCTGTGCAGTCATGAAGCAGCCCGCAACGTTAACTCCCATCATCTTGTCCACATCCTCGAGCGTATAGTCTAGGGCCGGAGTTTCTTGCTGGATTCCGGCAGCAGCAACAAGTCCGTCCAACCGACCGTGCTCGTTGGCAATGCCCTCAATAGTGCCATTCAAGCTAGTGACATCTCGGACATCAATGCGATGATAAGTGATGCTGGTTCCGAGCTCATTCTTGGCCCGTTCTGCAACGCGCGTGAAGTCCGGATCTGGCTCAGGTTTGCGGTCCACTGCATGAACTAGACGGAAGAGTTGTTAGACGCCGTCTTGTTCTTATTGTATTGATTCCGTACCTATTGCGCCTGCTTCTAGAAGAGCTTCGGCCTGGACCAGACCTAATCCCTGCCCAGCTCCGGAGACAACAATCACTTTGTCCTTCAAACTGAATTCTGGGAGGCGGTTTTTGCCGCCAATGAGGACCTCATCTTGTCGCCTCGCTGTGTAGTGGAAAGACCTCGCAAAATTGAAAACTCCTGGGCTGTTTCTTGTGGATGTTGGCGCAACTGCGATTGTGGCTCTCAAACAAGCAGGAGTGGCAACTCTGGGCGACAATCGAGCAGGGTTCGCCCTGGGCGCCAGTCTGGATATTACTCTGGACATTTTCATATTCTAACCTCCTGGTAATCAAAATTGCTGAGGTGTAGCGATCTGCAATCTTGCAGTTTTACTAGGAAGAGAGTCTTCCTCCTCTATTTATGCAACAGACGGCCGAATGCTTTCAAGGGGACTTCAGGTAGATGGGACCGCCGGGAAGTGGAACTATTGATTAACTCGAGAAGGAATGCCGTGTAGCGAGCGCAAGTGTCGTCAAATTTGTTCTGGGATCCATCACTCGGGCGGCGGAGACGGTCACCCTTTGTACTTACCGTTGGTCTTGTCCGGATGTCAGGGTTAACGTCATTTGGTCACACCAAGAAGCTCTTGTTCATCTCACGGACTAGCTCGAAGCTTCCCCTCCCCTCAGGACACTACACGACCTTGTCGAACCCCACAGTCTCAATTTTCTACCTCAGTGTGAATAGATTCAACACGTTCAGAATCTAGACGGCATCTAGATGGCCACTTAGGGAACCCGATATACAATAGGAGATAAGAACAGTAGGGCTGTCGAAGTTCAGAAGCAGCACCGGTGAGCTAGAGACCTCCAGACCGGTCAACGACAAGTGTCCATTCAGAGCTATCAACCAAGAAACAAGTTCAAATGGGACGGTTAGATTCAGATACTACATGGACACTGCTCGCCTCGATGTGACCTGCAGAAGCATCTCTCTGAATCCAATGTCGTCGAAAGCTGGGAATGTGGGGTAAGAAAGCCGGCCGGGGAATCCAGACAGAAGGATGCCCCTCCGGATTGCCGAATGCGGTAATCCGTTGTGTAAGTGGCAATGGATCATCATCGGCCTCCAGAAAGCGCCAAGCCATCTCCCAGCTCGCTAGCCACCACTCAGGGTCATCTTACCAGCCCGATACGTCCGATGGTCTCTGCAGAAAGCCCCTTTTGGTGCCTCGAGGCAATGAGAAAAGCGAGCTGCCTTTGACGTCTTTCTCCAGTGCTCTCACCGGAGTCGACTTTGTCCCTTGTAGAGGCTTGAGCACCTCTGCCCACCCTGGGCTACCCAATCAAGGAGACGCCCTACAGATTCGAGACCCCGGATACTGCAGCGACAACGGACGACAGATGCTGGATCGAGCCTCCTCGGCCTGTCAGTTCTCAATGTTGAATGCACATGTGCGCGTAGCGCTGCAGTATGCAAGCCGAGTAATGCGTCTAGAGGCTTTTGAGGCTTATAAAGCTTGCTGCTATGCCTCCGCCAAATACAACGTTCACAGCGTTCAACCGCCTCAGAGGGCATCCAACTCGCGATGCGCCTCGTGTCATGCATGCATTTGGCCCGCTGTGGCTTTCTCTGAACCTGCTATTGCCGGCCGGATCTGCTGTGTCACGGTTGGTCCAACGGCGCCCCCGTTGCACAGCAGCAGCCAGATATGAAGTTGTGTTATCCACCGTGGCCCAGTGGGGTTTGCAGTCTGCTGGTCTCAACCGAAAGCCGATGTCGAGTGCTGTCGGAGCCTAGACCGTCTCCGTTGTATAAGAACTGGGCCGGCATGCGGACCCAATGCGGAGTGCATCTCAGCAGATAAGCGCCTAGATTATGAGCGCCGATCACCGGCAAGCATGCTGGGAAGCCGTTGTTCTCGACTGATGGCCCGGAGTAGGTCCTCATCCATTGTTCGACCGAGTGTTAGCTATCCACCATACTCGGCCGCCACTTGACGTGTTTGCCCCCCTTGGCTATGCGATTTCGTTTCCACTGATAATCGGCAGCGTAGATCCGATATTAGCATTCGAAAGCGCCACTCATTCAATCAATACGTCACTCGTTGAGTGATTGCAAGGGTTGGTTTTAAGTATCAGTCAGTGCGGCGGGAGATCTTTCTGAGCTCATTGAGTATTCCTATGATCTATTGGGTTCGCTCTATCTTCTCCATTCGGCAAACCGAGCATGTTGGGTGGTGAGGTGCTCCACATTCTGTATTATCCGCACTCGGTCCCGCAGTCTGACAGATCCGCCCGCCGCCCTACCTTCAGCGGAGCGGAGGTCTGTTTCCATCGAGGAGCACCGCCCGCCCTCAAGTGTCAACGCTCCTACGGGGCACGTGTAGAAAATGATCCCCTACATTTCGTTCTTAGATCGTATTGGTGTGTCTCACTTCATTTCGGTTACTTGAATATTAGTAAAGTCGGCCGGGTCTAGGACCGGTTCCCCTTTTCCAAAAGCATAGACACCATACATGGCTCCGGTAAAAGCACCACCTATAGGGGGCATCACCGTAAGCTTGCTCGCTTCAAATTCAACCACCTTCTTTTCGTCTTGTTTTCCTGTGTGGAATAGCAGTTTGTATTCCGTAGCATAGCATTCAACCTCTAGGATTACAAGTCCTAGGTCGGGGAGTACTGATTCCACGGCTTCTGGTGCTTCCTCTGGGGAAAGAAGTGGATATGACGTCTGTGCCTGCATTAGAGCTTCACTTATCAGCAGAACTTGGTCAACTCACTGCCATGATACCTGCTTGGCCTGTTGGGCTACGACGGATCACCGTGCGAACCTTCTCGCCGCTCGGCAACTCCACCGTGGTGATTCCCACTGTTGCATACGAGAATTGGCTCCACCACAGCACAATGCCAGCTTCATATCCTTTCTTTCTCGGATTGAAGTTCAATTTGACGTGGAATCTCTCGCTATAAGATGTCTGCTTCCGCAACAACATCGCAGGGCCTTCTGGACTCGACAAATCATAGCAGTTTCCATAAATCCGCAAGAAACCCGGCTGCTCGGTCAAAGCGTAGCATTGCTTGAGCGGCGTATCTGTATAGCAAGTTAGATCTCTAGTATAAACCATTGTATACAACTTACCCTTTTGATACCAGCCGAGCTCCAGATCCGAGCGATCCAGATCGGCTTTCCAGATAGTGCCATCCGCTTCTGCGTTACTTAATACAGAAATAGGATCCCGGCCTTGCGTCAGAAGAGTAATGTTCTTTCCGTCGTTGAATACCGGCCAGTCATCGACCCAGTCAACTTTTACGAGAAATGACTCTCTCCCTAATTGAGGCTCGAGCCAGTTACCTTGGTGCTTAGCAGGACGTACACCAAGGAATACAGCCCACCACCTGCCTTGCCCATCCTCAAAAACATCGGCGTGACCTGTGCGTTGGACCTCCTCATCCGGACCATTGTACCACAATGGACGACCGGTGCTTTCCCAGGGCCCGTAGACACCCTCGGTACTACGCAGAACCCATTCCTGATGGCCAGCTTCCGTGCCGCCCTCCGCGGTGAACAAGTAGTAGTATTTGCCGCGCTTGATGATGTGCGAGCCCTCGGCAATGCCATGCGGTGACTGCCGTACCACAACGGGCGGCGTCAGCGTCCGACCAGTCGGCAGGTCTATCTCAGAGACATGAATAGCGAAGTCCTTCAGCTTTGATCCAGGTGGCCTGTTCGCGATGCGAACTGTCGTCGAGAAGTATACCTTCTCGTCATCATCCCAGAACAAGTCCTGGTCGAAACCAGGGTTGTCGAAGTAAACCGGATCGGACCACGCGTCATCATCCCAGATATTGTCTGTACACACGTAAAATCCCCGTGGAAAGATGCGCTCGTCAGTCGCCGGTCGGTACCGCTGGAACAGGCAAGTGGTCAAGTACCACCGCTTCTCCACGGTCCGGTAACGAAGCGTGCTCGCCCATGCTCCGGCGCCGGGCTCAACAGTCCGGAGATTGATTTGACTCGGTCGAGTCAAAGCGTGACCGATGAGGTTCCAATTGATCAAGTCCGTGGAAGCATAAATAGCACATCCCGGGAAAAACTCGAAGGTGGAGGTGCTCAGAAAGTATGTCGTCGGCGCCGACTCCGTAGCCGGGACCACGCAGATGGTCGGATCTGGATTGAAGCCCCGGATAATGGGATTCCGGAAGACTACGGGATCGGAGGTATCAGACACTTCAGCCATCTTCACAAATACCGACAAGGTCTCGCTTCATAAATGTTACTCTCACGCTGGATAGTCTCATTTCTCGAATGATGGCACAGCCGGATCTTGAAGCTTCTAGACCTCATAGCCGTCCCGGGGTATCTTAGCCCCAGTTTGTCCATGTTCGGCAGCTTTTGGTGTTGCGAATTCGGTAGCTCGGCACAAATTTGTCCCCCAATGGAATTACACGAATTAGACCAAAGAATAGCCTTCCCGCCTAGCCTTTCGAATGTCGCTCCGAGCATCGCGCACGACATTTCAAGACTTTGACAGGTCCGAGCAACGGCTCTAGTGAGTCGGGAAGCGAGGATTCGGAGCGATAGTCGACAAGGGTTCTTCATGTCAACTTCGACCGATGCTTCTGAATTTTCGATTGCTTGCAGTAGTCCACATTCCGGCCGGAGCCTAACGAGGGGATAAGACGATCTTTCCAGTCGTACGATGCCCCTGAGGCTAGTAAGGTGGTACCAGCCACTGAAGGCGCAGCTGGCAGCCGCTAAAAGCCGCTTGACAAAAGCAACCAGGCAGGCCGTTTCAGTGGCTCGCCGCTCGCGGGGCGGAGCATCCCAGGAACCTTTTTGCGGGGATGTCGAAGCTTTGCCCGTAACCTACTGCCGTTGGCGAGTTCCAGTTCTTTGGATTAGCGGCATTGGGGTTCTAAATTCAGTATCTGCTATTGCTCCAGAGCTCGACCTCGCTAGGCTAACTCATTGAGCTCATGGTTCATGCGTCATTAAAGGAGCGGAACCTTCTCCGCCGTCTCCAACTTTTATCATGATACTGAAGTTCTCGGCAGCTTCTGACGTGCTCACGGCGGTGTACGGTGCCCAAATTCGTTTCTCCCAAGTGCCTTGTGTGATGAGATGAAGCATTACGAGCCACCTCGAAATGACACCACACTCACGGCAGTCGGAATTCTGCGGAACCTCCTCCAACCCTTGCCTCGTACCGTACCTATCAAATCTCGATCTTTCTGGTAAAATCTCAGGCATGGATGCTCTTGAGCCTTCTCTACCCTCTTGTCATATATCATTTGCAGCTGAATCTAATACTCTGTACCTGCGGCACAGTATGGAACCAGTTCTGTGGAAGGGCATTGGCCCAAGCTCCAACAGGATCCCGCATCAGACATGCCTATCCCAGAGCCGCCGATTCAACTGCTTCAAGAGGAAATCCTATGCGAACGGGCTTGAGAAGGATGCATCCGTGTTAGAACTCGTCACATTATCACAACCTTCTAGTTGGAACTTGAAGTAGCTCCCGGATATTTGCCGTCTCGTTTGTCGTCACGTCAAAGCAAATTGAAAGTTCATAGAGAGTGTGAAGCCATGTCCTTGGCGCAGAGACGATTTTGGTGCCCTAACCTTCCAGGCATCTAGTCAACAAAAGTACGTGTTCAAATTGTGCATGAAGGCGAATCCTAGGGGCATGCAAGAGCCGGTTCCGTTTCATCCGGCCTAGTTAGTACGAAGATGCTGAAGAATGGGGCTGGAACGGGTGGTGGAACCACGCGAGCAAACGGCAATCCTAGCAAAGTTTCGAACACGCATTCGATGTATTACCGACTCGTGGAGACCGCATGGCGACCCTTGGCTTCCACATGGCAGACCAACGACGTGAAGAACTAGTAGGCACCATCGAAGGCTCGAGTAGCCTTTCCCCAGTCAAAAAAATCTTTAAGATCATACGAGGCGGCCTCAACAGGGTGTGTATGCAACACTGCGAAGCGAGAACTAAGGTTGGCCCGGCCGACTGTTCCTCGTTGACAAGATGCCACGAGCAAGACATATAACGGCTTCGACGACACATCGGCCAGGATGGGAAGTCCCTCCTGTCAAACTCCCTCTCTTCTAGGTCCCGCTTTTAGTCTTCCCGCTTCCCGTCGGCCTGCCTCTGCACGTCGTCTTATTACATGACTTGAATCCTGCATCAACTTGTGGTAGTTCCCACCCGTCACCATGGCTCTCACGTACCAACAGACGCGAATGGTGAGGGGTACCATTCCAGCGCTGCGAGAACATGGTGAGAGGATTACCACTATCTTCTACCGAAATATGCTTCGTGACCACCCCGACCTCAACAACTACTTCAACTCAGTGAACCAGAAGAATGGCCGTCAGCCCAGAGCTTTGACCGCCGTCATCCTGGACTTTGCCGCCAACATCAATCACATGGCGGAGCTTATTCCTAAGCTCGAACGCATGTGCAATAAGCACTGCTCACTCGGTATCAAGCCTGAGCACTATGATATCGTGGGGAAGTACCTCATCGCAGCATTCGGAGAGGTGCTTGGACCAGCCATGACCCCGGAGGTGCAGTTGGCCTGGCACAAAGCCTATTGGATGCTGGCGAAGATGCTCATCGGGCGTGAGGCACAGCTGTACAAGGACTTTGATAAGTGGACCGGGTGGCGGAAGTTCAAGATTGACCGAAAGGTCGCAGAGACTGACGAGATCTTTTCTTTTTATCTGGTGCCGGCCGATGGCAAGCGCCTTCCGACCTTCCTTCCGGGACAATACATCTCCGTGCGGATCCACCACCCGGACATCGGCTACCTCCAGTCTCGGCAGTACTCGCTCAGCGAATCGCCGCGGCCTGACTACTACCGCATTAGTATCAAGCGTGACCAAGGAATGGAGTACAGGAACTCCGTTTCCAAATCTTTCCTCAACCCAGGACTGGTCTCCAATTTCTTGGTAGACACACTACGGACGGGCGAAACTGTTGAGATCTCCCATCCGGCTGGCGAATTCTTCCTCGACACCAACAACAACAGCAGCGTGCCATTGGTGCTTATCTCGGCAGGCGTTGGCGTCTCGCCGATGATAGCTATCCTCAACACAGTCGTCCAAACCCAGCCAACGCGCTCTGTGTCGTGGATTCACGGCTCGCGCCGCCTCATCCCATTCGAAGAGCACATCCGTGCAGCAAAGCGGCGTTGTCCCAACCTTCGCACCAACTTCTTCAAGACGCATTTGGCCGATGGCGACCTAGCTGGCGTGACGTACGACTATGACTTCCGTGTCGACTTGGCTAGAGTACACCCGGAGGACCTGTACCTGAGCCATGGAGGCACGGAGTACTACATCTGTGGACCAGAACAGTTCATGCTGGAAATGGCGGACTATCTGAAGTCACAAGGTGTTGATTCCGCAAGGCTCAAGTTCGAACTTTTTAGCACAGGAGATATGGCTTTTGAGCATTGACAGATGTAATTATATCATTTTCCAATAAAAGCACATGTGCCGTGGTTTGGACTGCTGTTTTTGGTAAGCGTAGGCCTGATATTCAGCAGTCTAGGCCCCCACAGTACAAGAAGGTCAAGCCACGGACGGTCTTCATCTGTCCCTTTTTTTCAAAGTTGATAAGACAACGAACGACCTCGTACATTTCGGTCTCGTAGTCTCGAAGAGCATCTTCTTCCGTACGGCTCTTGACCATATACGAACACCCCTGCACAGTCTCGCCGCTCCGGCCATGCACAAGCGCGTTGTACCGCCCGCCAGGCGTTTTCGTGAGACGGCCTCCCGTCACGTTGGCAGGATAAAACACAGGAGGTTCGTCAAGCCGCAAGAGCCTTGTGAGAACGTCGGGCTCGCACAGCCTGCCGTAGAAGAAGTATATGACGGGGTACTCGTCCTGAGCCGGGAGAGTAGAATGGTTGAGGTTGTCGTCGTCGAGGCGGAACTGCGGCAGGGTGGCGTCAGGAACACCAAGTGTAGGGTGACGCGAGTGAGCGCTGAGCTCTTTTGCGGCCGAGTCGGTGTGCCGGATGAAGAAAGGGCGGAACCCAATATTAAGGATAGCATTCTTGGTGCGGCTATCTACGATACAGAAAGTTGCGGTAGTCGCCTTGCCGTCGTCAGATCTATCATCGTAGGATTCGTTATCATCGTCCGAGTCCTCCTCTTCTTCGGCATAGTAGACAACAGGAGGTGCATCGAGCCCTGCTATTTCTTGGATCTCCGCAGCGCTAGGCACCCCGGCCCCAAGTCGCATCAGGTATCTACCCTTATGGGTTTGTGCTATAGCCTTGCACTCATCCTGGGCGGGCAGCAAAGCATCGCAATTATCAACACTAATACCATGCGCGTTCGCGTCGTTATCATCCGTTTTCAGCAGCGCGACGTTCTTTACAAGCTCCTCGCAGGCCTCGAGAAGGTTGGGATCCATGGCGGTAGACGATTGCGAAGGTCAAAGCTCGATCTGACGAGGCGCTGCTCAATGTTAAAAGAATGAAAGAATGGAAGATTGGAAATGTCTAGGCGCCTGGGAGGGAGTTGTCTTGTACTCACTGCGTCTACAGGGCTATCTCCGACGCCTTGCGAAGGGTCACATCGAAAAACCCTATTCGCATAAGGAATATCGCCCAGTCACCTTAGAACGTGCGTGCCACAGCCGAATTGAAGTTTAAACCTTTTGTAGGCCTCCCAACCACGGTTGTCATATAAATTCTCACGCGGAGGCGCTTCGATGCGAGGCAGAGACAGGGACTCGCAACTGTGATTCCCGAGCTCGAGCCCTCCCTAACCCTGAGCGACTGCTTACATTCGCATTGCTATACTAAAGCCCTCGTTCACACAAGGCTAATAAGCAACTGGCGCTATTTTCCGGAGAAGAGGTGAGTGAGCGAGATATAATTACCAAAGGGTCTTAAAGATCGGGTTTTGTAATTAATGAAATAATTAATTAATAGGCGCATATACCTTGGTTAGGTAATATTGGGTTGGACCAGAAGCGGAAGTTTCCTTGGTCCCGACCACGGCACATGCGTTCCACGATTTGTATACTTTCAACGGCGTGACGAGATCAAGGACAAAAACAGAACGAGGAAGGGGTACGGTCCGGGACGGCAGATCTTGGAAGTTCACACTAAAACATGCATATTAGGAAGGGCATTTTAGTATTTTTGGGGTGAGGGAGGTATGAAATTCAACATGATGATTTCAGGAGCACTCTCTTCTAAGACAACTTCAGATCTGATGGAAGATGTACTAGTTCAATTTTCGATTCATAATGAGTAGCGTTACGAGATGATATTGGGGACATGGAATTGAATCGTAAAAGCGAGCCATGCCCTAGATCTATGTTCCAGTATGTCTCTATTGGTGCCGCAATTGTTTGACATGCCTGATCTACTATCTCTGTAGCCTAGGACAGACACCATGGCGAGTAGATTTCTCCTGAAGCATATGTACTTCTCCAGAACTTGCCACACAACACGTACACATTCTCACCCTCCCTCCTCCTCTTTCAAGCAGCTAAGAGCGTGCTTCGAGAACAACATATTCAACAAGATACCGAGCAAGCAAGGGGCTTCTTTGAGGCTCAGTCTGTCAAGGCAACCTTGGTAGGTATATTTGTCGAGTCAACATTCACCTGATCACAGAATAAGCCTCGCCCTAGAAATAGGGAGTAACTTGCAAACATTCGACAAATCCCTGGTCACTTTAAGGTTTGTAAGGGGGAGGAGGAGGATCGAAGAATTTACTTCCTGGAATATCGACATCGTCCTATCAATCAAGCGTTAGCTATTTCACTCGAGACTGTCGGTGAATAACGATTGTTGTATCTCTAGCTGATGACTCACCGCTGCTGCGTGTCTCCCACACCAAATCCAGACTGCAACAATGAACACAATAATACCTATAAAGCTCGCTACTATTCCCGCTATCAGGCCGACTTTGTTGGTGGTTGATGAGCTGCTCTCATCGTCTGTTTCTGGGGATTCAATGACCTCACCACCTCCTCCAGGCTCGCCATTTCCATCAGGCGTGGCCACATACACGCAAGTATTACGGTAGAACTGGCGCATCATCTCATCTGCTTCTTCAATGCTTTCCCCGCAGTCGTTCACAAGACAGGGTGCGAGACTGTCGAAGACGGCCTCGAGCCGACAGAAGCAGTTGCGTGTCAACTGCGACTGGCAGTGCTCTGGGATAAGGGCGTTTCGAATACATGCCCGCCCGCACTGTGGTAGCAGCTGGAGCGTCACGGTCTGTGGCGGGCCGCACTGGAGATTGAACCAGTCTTCGACCGAGTACCAGTCGCCGTCAATGCAATTCGTGGCAGTACAGTTGACCGGAGCCAAAGCGTTGCAGAAGCAGTCGTCAGTGATTGCTGCACACCCAATTGCGGCCGAGTGATATGGGAAACAGTCGGACCAGCCACACCTAGGCATGCTGTGAAGATCGATCTCGTCCGCAAGGCTCGTCGCAGACATCCATGTGGCGAGTAGAATGATGTAGGCCAGGCGGAAGGGTAACTCGAAGATGTAGAGGCTCCTCATGATCAAAAACTGAAGTATCCAACCGATGACTTTTATCTTACAGAATCTTATGTTTTAAAGTTTTATCAGAGACCAGGCTCGCCAGGCTATGAGTAAAGCACCTGTCCAACCCAGCCTACGTGACATATTCTACATCCGAATGAGCATGCATGCATGGGCCAATACGATGTGAAAGGGCTTGCACTAAGCCACAGTACGGGAGGGGTCAATTTTTATAGATAGGCTTGATTAAGAATCTATGAGGTTGAGACATCACTCACCGAGCTGCGCCACGTCGTATTGGGGGAGAAGTTGACTGAAATGGTTGGGTGTAGCCTCATCCTAGACCGCCCGTGCCTGTCAGCCCCGAGACCAGGCTCTCATAAGAATTGAGCTGTGAAAGAGTATGCTGCGGCCATTATGGACTGAGGTGAATTCGGTCTGCTGAGCTTTTCTTGTCCATTATCTGGAGCTCTGCTTTTCCCAAGACCTCCTTGTTGAGATATGAAGGGAAACTTTTTTTCGATTCGACCTTTAAATACCATGATACTTCTTGTCGCCCTCGTCATCCACTTTGTAGGCGCATGGCAGCAATCTCATTCAGCTTTAATCCCCTTTGCAAGAGATATTGAGCATGATGAGGTCAATATCAGCAACTTCCCGCGCTGTGCAACTGCCAATTGTATCACATCTCAGCAATTCTCACCATCACGTCTGGGCTGCATAGAAGAAACCCTCGATACCGAATGCTTTTGCAAGGAGGCACCAACACCGCTCAGTTGTGCGCCGTCCGGACCCTCGGACGAGAATAATTGCTGGTATGAGATGGAGGACTGGTTTGCAGGGGTCTGCAATGGCTCCGTTGCCCAGGTCAACGGAGCGACCGTTCCTGAATGCACTCGCACGTGCATATTCGCTGCTTTAAGTACCTTGGGGTGCAGGAGCCCAACGAGAAATTGCTCTTGTATTCTATCGCGACAACCCGTCATCGACGCCGCCAAATCATGTCTCTCACATAATTGCGCAAGAAAGATGCGATCCTCCTTCTCGCCGGAGTCGTGGCGGGATACTATCTGCAAATTGGGAGAGGTAGATGTTTATGACCAAGCCCGCTATGACCGCTACATAAGGAAGGTTCACGACACGCGCATCGCGGTACCAGTTGTAGTGTGTATTACTCTATTTCCAGCCGCCGTACTTTGTTGGATTTTGACTGGCAGCGACAGTAGAAGGTCACTAAAGCTGTTAATAACGGGGCTTATTATGGTCATTGGTTTAGCTATTATTCTCCCTGTGGAATTTGCGCTTTGAATCTCATCCCATTCCACACACCTGGCAGAATTTTGCAATCTTCAGACACATTTACCAGAAAGCCAGAGAATATGAGATTCGGCTCTGTTTAATACATTTGTCGGCTTGGCTTCAGAGTGGGATCTTCTCGAGTTTGTCTTGTTGTTGCCTAAGATTGTCAGCAAGAAGTGGAATTCTTCAAGGAGAAAGGCCGGAGATGTAGACTTGAACACAAGAACACCGGTTGGGCACTGATGAGAGTCGAGATAAGACGGCATTAAGCTCTGAGCTGTTTCTAGGGATCGAGCAACGCGCTGACGAAGTCCTCTTGACGAATATAGTTAAACGGCATCAAGGCAGTTATTATCACTCGCAGGAGCCATATTGCTGGAATAGCGCGACTCATAGAAGATGGAGGATCAAAATTGCCGAATTTTCTAAAGAGCACAGCACCATCTGTATCGCCCACTAGAATCGCTGAACTATCTTGCTAATTTTGCTCAAGGACCTAAATGATCATTTGCTGTCGGAATCCTTTAATAATTGAAAAGGTTATTCTTTCTTATTCCTTTCACCTAAGAAAAAGATATGTCATGATTTAGCGATGATCAAGCTGAATCCCGAGTTTTCTTTGTCGAAGTATGCTAATCCTCCATTTATCGCTGCTCTGCTAGGATGGCACAGACTTGGCTTATCTTGTCTTGGAATGTATTTGAAGAGCTCAAGGTTATTTCATAGAATATTAGATGCCCCTGTTGAGAATGGGAAGGGGTAGACCTGTCTCAATATAGTCATGTTTATCTATCTATACGCGTTGATATTGTTTGCGATAACTTTGCCATCAGTCGGTATATCAGTCTACCAAAACGAAAGAACGACAAGAAGACGTTGAAAAGGTGCGCAAGGGCGTGCATAAGTATGGGTTTGATCAAGGACTGATGACTTGCCGTTGTGGAGGTGTTGTGCAGCCACAGGGAGAAGGATGGCCCGAGTTCTGGGACGTATTGTTGGACGATATCGGAGGAGAATCTGATTGGATATTTGACTGCAAGCCGTGCCATATTCCGTGTTTTCAGCCGCAAACCCCCTCTTTCTCAGTATCGTGCCATATCGCATCTGGCCCGACGGTTCTGATAAGGGTCTATCGCTACCTAGGTCCCAGTCATTTCCTTATTAGATGTGACCACTTGTCAGAGTTCTCCAAATTCCAGAAAAGGAGTTTGGCCATGTTGTGCAACATCTTCTCGGCTGATTTGATGACCCATCTTCACAGAACGTCTCGGGTTACCGGTTGCCCAACTATTTTTCGCGAGACCCCTAACGAGATGTCTTTTGAGTTTGGTGGGGTGGTGCTGTGCCGCCAGCTCTCTTCAGCTGAAGCTTTGGCGTACGCCACAACAGCTTTCGGCCTGTCTGGCTCAACTTCACATCGATTTCACTGGTCTCAATAACACGCTATTTGCCGAAAGCATTGAACTAAGACATACATGGCGAAGGCGCCCAGGCACGTCAGGAGAAGTTCCGGACTAGAAAGCTTGGCTCTAGACTTCAGCCTCTCTGTCTATCCCAGCGAGCCCAGGTGCGCCGCATCGCCAATGAGGCATCCAAGTCTATCTGCATGGGCAGCGCCATGGAACCCCTTCAGGCAAAGATCCCCAGAGATGGTGGCCCTCTCAACTGGGAGGCCCCTCGTTCTGGCGTTCACAAGGCTGCAGGCTCGCAGTTCGAGAGCCGCCATTATCAATTACCCTTGCCCGACGGCTTGCAGGGGGCGTTTTTCTTGACTCTATTGCGATAGCGTCGTCCAGTCGATTGGCTGAATGGTCAATGCCAAGCTCACATGGCTCTTTGCGCCGGCTGGTGGTACTTGACCTGAATTCTGGGCGTGGGATCGCAAGATTCCTGGCCAAGGAGCTGAAATATGAGTGCCGTCCTCCGAGAACGCGACCAGTGTCGCTTCTCCTCTTCCTCTTCGTCTTGCGTTGTCAAGCTAGGGCTTAAAGATCATTAAACAACGATCGATCGCAGGAGTTGCATGATCAAAATGCGATTTATTTTGTTATCACACCTCCTTCTGGGAGTTGCTTCGGCGGCTTCGTTCAGCAATCACGCCAACCTGATCAAGCGAGACAACTCGCAAGTCTGCTCAGACTTAACCGTGTCATCCAACAACGGCGATCGCAAGGTCGCAATTGTCATCGACAGCTCCGGTTCTATGGTTTCCAATGACTATACCGACTTGCGCATCGCAGCCGGTCGAGCTTTGAACGAGTTCCTAATCTCTGATTCCGAGGCAAAAGACGGCAAGAAAGCCGACGAGGTTACTGTCATTGACTTTGACGATGAAGCGTATTTGGACTACCCGCTTGGCGACCCCGGTAACGCGAATAGCTCGTTCAGCAAGATTGACTCAATAGGCGGTACCTACATTACAAGTGGTGTCCTGATGGCAATCGACCAACTCACCTCCAGCAACTCTGGCACAACCGACAAGAGGAGCGCGATTGTTGTATTTACTGATGGCGAGGTATGAATACTCGTGATATTGCACCTTTTCTGGAGTCATCTTGATTAATTTGCCCTGAGTACAGGATTACAGCACCGACGAGCTAGTCTCGGCGATCGGGAATGCAACAGCATTAGGAATCCGTGTGTCCTTTGGCTTCCTTGATCCGTATGCCTCATCACAACCGGAAGAGGTTCTCAAAGCTGTGCGTGACTCTCGCGGAGTTTATGCCACAATCACATTCGCCGCCGGGTCGCAGAACTTCATCAACTACGTACTCCTTAATGGTCTCACTTACAACGATAACCCGCAAGGATACGGCTCGCAACTCTTGGCTGGGTTGGCAGAGACTCAGTTCATTTCCGGATCAGATACAGTGACGCTTAAGTATTCTGCTGAGAAGAACGAGCGGGTCAATTTCACAATTACCACCATTACCGCGGGGAGCCTGAAGGCGGAAGTCAAGATGGACGGGAAGTCTCTCGGCAGCGACACAATTTCATACTATGATGCCTTCATTGATGTCCAGGCCCCTAGCAGCGGCGAAATGCAGCTGCTAGTCACGGCTGATGGTGCACCCAAAGACTCTATGTTCTCTGTCACCACGAATTCGAATGTCCCCATCAAAAACTGCACAGTCGGTGTCAGCGGAAGCAACCACTCTGGTTTAAGTAAAGGAGCCAAGGCTGGTATCGGCATCGGCGTCACCATCGGTATCCTGGGTCTGCTTGGTGGTGCTGGATACTTTGGATACAAGCACTTCTTTGGTCCTGGCAGCGGCAACACAACTGCTCCGCCGGCCCATGGCAACACCACATCCGGACCTACTCCAGGCAATCACTCGCAGCCTCCAACTTACGGTGAGAAGCCTTTCATGCACACGGATGTTTATCCTGTCGATCCATCGTCAATAGCTCAGCATGCTCCTACAACAATACCTCCACATGCCTCACCCCCAACTCAGATGGCAATGCCACCAACATCGGGCCTCGAGAACACACCGATGTCAATGCCACCACATGGCACTGGTCTAGAAGGCAACGTCCCAATGTCTGGCACAGGATTAGAAGGCAACGTTCCGATGCATGGAACAGGTTTAGAAGGCAGTACTCCAGCGCCTCACACAGCTGGTCTCGAGGGAGGCGTTCCCCAGAGCGTAGCTCCTACTCCTACGCCACATACGCAGATGCCCATGCCTACTCCGCACACTATTGCTCCCACACCGGGAGGTGTATCGCCATATACGCCGCTAGCTGCGATACCTGCGGCGATTGCTCCAGCTGCAATTCCCATGCTACATCATCCTCACTCACCTCCTCCTCGCGCTGCTGATCCATCTCACACAAGCTCGCCTCAGTCACAGCATACGTTGCCGAACTATCCCGAGACCCAGAACTTCACGCCTACTCCAAATATTCAGCAACCCCTGTACCCAGGCGGCCAGCACCCAATGTATCACGGCAGTCAACAACCCATGTACCCCAGTGGACAGCATCCCATGGGCCAACACCCGATGTATCCAGGAGCCCAGCAACCAATGACTCCCGAGGGTACATATCCCAACCCAAACCACACCATTCCTCAATACCAAGTTCATCACCCTGGCGCTCCCACTTCGCTCGAACCAGGCCATGCAGTGAATCAGAGCCCCTACGGTGTAGATCCGAGCAACCACACTGGCCCAGCACCTACCAATCACACAGATATCCCGCCGCAGAATCACACAGACTGGTCTGATTTCTATGACCCGGACAACTGCAGCTGCAACGAAGGCCCGTCTGACTCCGAGAACAACTGGATCGTTCCACCGATCATTACTGGCGGTGTTCCTACAAAGAGCAGGCACAGGCATCGCGGGCCGATCCCAAAGGCCCGCCGATCAGCGGTCGAGAAGCATCACCACCATGAAGGGTTCCCTCCAGATGTGCATTGCCAGGATGCAAACTGTCCCCTAAATCAAGTGCATGCATGCCAACCGAACGACAGCAGTTGCCCCTGTGCCTGCAGATATGATGAATGCCCTATCACGAAGAGGATGAGGGAGGAGAGGAATCGAAGAGACATAGGGGCAACAGCAGTCTTGAACGTTGTTTCGTAGCGTACTGATGTGCATTTCATGAATAGTCACGCAAATTCGCGTGATGGTAGTCACTTTGTATAATTCTGCCGAGTTAGTTGGCTATGTCTCACTCTCTTTCTGGTTAGATCTTGATATCCTCCACGGTATAATAGTATAATACAAGGACGCTGGTTCATACATTCACGACATTCGGAATTGATTACTGGTCTAAAGTACCAGTATCTGCACATTAAACTCAGGAAGCAGGAATTGTATGATCGGTAGATTTAGGAATTATTTGCCATACACTACTAGCCCAGTGTGCTAATTGTCCGTTGGGCAAAGTGTCATAGTCTCAACAAGATGGTTACTATAGAAATTTTATGAAGCTGTGATAACGAATAGTATCCTCAAAAACCTCAATATGTAATATAGACCTCCCCATACAGTATCTTACTCATCAAAAATAACGTCTGTTAGCACCGCAAAGCAGTAATTGTACGCTCGACTACCCATGCGAAGTTACCTTTCGAAACTCGCCTATCTTTGGGGCTTTCTTTTCCTGCATGCAATTATCATACAAGCTTATTCAAGCTTTTCGGCAACGTGGGTTATCTGCCGTTACTCCGGCCGCCTGCGAAGTCGATCACCTTCCTGTCTTGGCAATGAGCTGCTGCATCTGCCACCCACATCTTGATAACTGTCGTGTGATGTCAGTGTTATGTGTCTTTAGTCCCAATCAGCAACGACATGAGGAGACGTTGACAAACACCTAATTGACCCCGCAGCGCGAATTCGTTTTAGGGGGCGATAACCGGCTATTCGAACCATCCAGGACCGTTGATGAGCGGGAATACCACTGATATGGTTCCTCTTTACGATGTACCTAAATGACGGACCCCGCCGAGAGGTGCCACTGCATTCGGGGGTATGATCTGCGGTGATACAAGGATCCAAAGAACGGGTCCACTGAAGCTCTTATCATTCAGCTCGCATCATTATTTTTCTTAAATATCCATTCTCGCTGGCCGTCCGCATGACGATTTTGCAAACTTATAACCTTCGAATCTACTACGACGCCAACATGACCACCATCGAGGAAACAAAGGATGTTCCACATGCTGGAGATCCAGAGAAAGCACCGGAAGTTCATCCCGCCTCTGAGGGTGAGGTCGGTGTCATTCTCAAGCATGCTAATCGTAACGATGCGGATGAGGCCCTGAAGGTTTTGGCGGGTCACGAGGGAGAGGTGATCATCTTGACGCCTGAAGATGAGCGGAAGCTTCTTCGCAAGATAGACCGAAATCTCATGCCTCTTCTTTGTCTGGTATACGGTTTGAATTATCTCGATAAAACAACAGTCTCATACGCGTCGATCATGGGCCTCAAAGCCGACATCCACTTGATTGGCCAGGACTACAGTTGGGTCGCATCTATGTTCTACTTTGGCTACCTGTTCTTCGAATGGCCAACGAACCGACTGTTACAGCGTCTGCCGTTAGGCAAGTATTCGGCCTTCAACGTGATTATGTGGGGATTAGTCTTATGCTGCATGGCCGCGACCAAGAATTTTGCTGGTGCGATGACAGTACGCTTTTTTCTTGGAGTATTTGAGAGCGCCGTAACACCCGGGTTTGCGCTCTTCACTTCCCAGTGGTATACAATTCGCGAACAAGGTCTTCGGACGGGATTCTGGTTTTCGTTCAATGGCTGGGGACAGATCTTAGGTGGATTTGTGGCATACGGAATAGCAAAAGGGACTGAGGAACATCCTATCAGCATCAAAAGTTGGCAGCTGCTGTTTCTGGTCATTGGACTTTTCACTGCGGCGATAGGGGTCTTGTTCCTATTTCTCATGCCCGACAGTCAGATGAACGCAAGATTCTTGACGCCACACGAGCGAGTTCTAGCTGTTGAGCGAATTCGTATTAATCAGCAGGGCGTAGGAAACAAACATTTCAAATGGTATCAGTTCAAAGAGGCCTTGTCTGACCCTATGGTGTGGGCTTTCGTGTTCTATAGTTTTGTTGGAGATATACCCAACGGTAAGAGCTGGCCATCTTTTCGAATCGATGTGGAACGAGGTCTAACGCGAAATTACAGGAGGAATTAGCAACTTCTTTTCACAGTTGATTGTGTCATTCGGATTCACTAATCAGCAATCGCTCCTGCTCGGCACTCCTGGGGGAATGGTTGAGGTACGAGCCAAGCTCATCCAAGACTGTGAAGAAACTAACTAATTGGCTTGGCAGGTCATCGCCCTGGTATTATGCGGCTACTTAGGTGACAAGCTGCGCAATAGACTTGTAAGTTCTCCGTGTTGCAATTCTGCGATAGGGCTTTCGCTGAGTATGCTTTAGCTTGTCAGCGTATCCGGCATGGCAATAGCGCTTCTCGGAATGTTACTCATCACCTGCCTGGACAACCATCATAGCGCAGGAAGACTGGTCGGGTACTATTTCACACAAGCCTCTCCGACACCATTCGTTGCTCTGCTTTCGCTCATCAGCACCAACGTCGCTGGCTGGACCAAGAAGACAACCGTTGCTGCAATGTATCTAATAGGATACTGCGTAGGCAATATCATTGGGCCGCAGGTATTCCAGAATAAAGACGCGCCACAGTATCGTCCGGCTGAGATAACAATCTGCGTTTGTTACTTCCTCTGCATACTGGACGTTTTGTTCATTTACGCTTGGTGCAAGAGAGAGAATCGAAGAAAGGAAAAGATTAGAGCGCAGCCAGGATACACAAAGATCGAGGGTCAAGAGTTTTATGATCTGACGGATCGGGAAAACCCCGAATTCGTGTACAGCCTCTGATATACTCGAAGACAGATCGTGGTCGTTTGCTGGACTGCAGCTCTCAGGCCAATCAATCACTGGGCGCCTTGGAAGATTGAGGTTCTAAGTAGAATTAAAGAACAAAGATCTAGTCTAAGGAGTCTAGATGTGCGACAATCAAAGACATAAAGCATTGTTAGCTACGGACTACAAAAAAGTCCAAGCACTTCCACCTTATAAATTCATGCTGATTCACTCTTGGAACGAACTAAGGCGGCCCTGAATGATTATTTTCTCCAACACATTTCATGGCCCTCGACTCAATCGGCATCCTTCATTTCCGCATCCTTTACCGCTCGCCTATCAACACTTTTCGGTATCAAGGCGGGATCTACGGCAGGAAGTAGAGTAGACTGCCCAGCCGGGCGTGATGGTGGCCTTGAGAAGAAGCCAGACACTCGTTGAATGAAGCTAGGGTTATCGGGTTGTAGCTCGAGAGCTGTTTTCAAGCATTAGCAATCGAATACATACATAAGGGCTACAGACAAGTGTAACTAACCCTCTGCTAGTGTGCCTGTAAGTGTCTCCCGTATCAGCGCTTTCTGCAATGGCGTATCTCCCGCCGGGTACAATCTCGGCCCCCCGCGATATTGAACTTTTTGATCGGCGTAAGGAACTTTTTTCGGCCTGTGCCATTCTATTGGGCACGGGTCTTCGACACACGGATCCCAGAATTGCTGCGGGTCAAGATCCTTATCCGTCTCAACTTTCTCGCGAGTCTTCTGACTTTGGACGTTCAGCGGCCACCGATCGAGACTGAGGAATTGCTTCGATTTTCCGCGAACGCTCGTCTTCGCCCAATCCCACAGCGGCGGCCTCACCATAACTGCCATTCGAAGACCGTTTTTGTTAGCGTAACGCTTGACGCGGGCCGGCACTAACATATCGCGATTATGGACACACTCGGATATGATACCGTGACGGATCTTGATCAACGCAGCTTGGTACGTCATGCCCGGCACATGGTCATAAGGCGCTGCACGGGCAACCACGTCCATTACATTTGGGACGTCGTGGGCATGAGCTAATTGGACCCAGTTTAGCTGCCATTTCTGGATAGACTCATGAAGGCCTCTGCGACTGAACTCTGGGAGCCCAACCCATTTGACTGCAGTTACTGTCTCAATGCGGCGGTGCTGTACGCCGAGTCGAAAGGCGAGCGCGCAGAACCAGTCAACCAGGGTCGGATTGAGCGCCATTCCAGGTGTATTCTCCTGTATAGCCTCAGGATAGGTACGAACATCCTTTCCACGTCGAGGAGCCCCAACCTGATCGTCCTCAAGATCAGGATGAAGTTCTTCAGAGTGACGAGTGCGCCAAATGACAAGATGCTCTGGGTGGCAATCAGGGACGACACGTTGAACCCAGCCATAGGCCCAGGGGTCTGCCTGAAATCTATTTTCGTCATGTTAGTGTTTGTTGATTTGCTTTCAATGTAACCAATGCATCTCACCTGCACCTTCCAGCATTTGCCAATCTATCTAGCCACATCAAAGCATCATGGACATAGAACTGCGTCTTTTTGATGGGACCATCGAGGCTTTCGTGCATCTTGTTCAGTAAATCCTCGACAGAGACCTTGGTCTCGAGATCAGGCCAAAGTGCAGTCTCACTGATATCGTCCATCAATCTCATCAATCTGTCCGCAAAAGTCAAGTAGAGAGCCGCTCTCGGCGAGAGCTCATCAATCATATGATGATGAATAGAGCCCTGAGTGAGAAACTTGAGCCACATGAGTTCGGCCTCAGCAAGGTCCTTCAACTCCTTCCCGCGAACCTTCCAGTCCAATGATCGAAATTTCAAGTCGCCTGGCGCCGCTTCCCCATTCAAACCTAGCTTCAACGACTTCATAACAGCTGTCAATAACGGTCTCGGCGCAATTTTCTCCTCTCTCTCTAACAGTTTGATGACAGTCTTCATCTTGGGGTACATATCCTGCTCATACTGCGTGTTCGCATCAACGCCTCTGAAGACATACGGCGCATTGTCTCGACTCGGCAGGCTAGCCCACCCGCGCCTGTGGCTTTCCTCCGCGATCGTCTTCTGCCGCGCCCGCTCACTGTAGAGACGATGCACGCGCCCGTACTGCTCCATCCAGAAGGTATATGGGAATGTTTCGAGACTAGCAAGCTTGGGCAGCTGCGTCGGTGCGAGTCCAAGGGGGTGCAGTCCACGATCTGTTGCCTGAGCCTTGGCCGCTTCTACCTCCTTTGCCGTGAGTGGAAGCACGAGTCTGCGCCAGGGAGTCTCCGCTGCCCGGTTTTCTTCATTCGTGAAAGCACGCAGAGCCTTCTGGAAGCCGGCACGCCTAGCACCGCGCTCCTTCGCAAAGTGCTCAGCACTGTCATTCAGCGGCGTTCCATCCGGAAGCCAGTATTTGACCCCTTTGTCGACTTGGAAACCGAAAACCCACCCGCTGTTAGCGGCACTACAGTCTTCATACATCTTGTTCTCAATATATGAGAGGTTCGAGAGCGGTTTGTCCGCAGGCTGCTGGTCGCTGGGAAGCTGGAACCACGCGTCTTCATCCTGCGCAATGAGCGGGACGTAATGCTCTCGCTTGGCCCTGCGATCCTCACTGTCCAAGTACATCTGATTCACCGGGGTTTCGGGTCGATGCAGGTGATGACGGGGATATCGTTCCTTGTCCAAATTCTTCTTGGGTGCCAGCTCGATGGAGATGCCTGGGACAGGGACCAGACGGGTGGCTGGTTTCGGCACTGAGCTTGGATCAAGAGGGCGCACTTCTGCATGATCGCCATAATGGTGCTTGTTGAAGAGCCTGTGGGCGCGCACGCGGCTCAGGCCGTCCTCAACCATCTTCTTCGAGTTGTCGCCCAGATCGGCAAAGGCCCAGTTTCCCTTGTCGTTTGCCTCGGCGAAGAGAAGAAACTTCTCAACCTCCTCGACTTTCTTTTCCCAGTCGACGCAGCGGTCAATGTCTTCATCAGCAAGGAAGTTGAGCGCATGACTGATCCGCATCCCTACTGGCGGTTGTCGTTGGCCTTGGTAAGTGAGATCATCTCGCATATCTTGCTGGTCTGGAATTTCGGGATTCCCAACCCCAGGGTCGTTGTATGCAAGGACTGGATCAACATCGTGGTTCAAGCTTTCCGGCGTTGGAGGCGCATGGAATTGGCTCTTTTGTGGCCTGAGATCACTCTCTTCAGCTGGGGGATCTCTGTCTGGCAGAGGAATGTACGTGAAAGGGGAGGGCGGATGGAGATCTTGTTCAGTGCCCTCCATATCGACGTCCTCAACCGTCTCCTCTAATGTCTCGTCCTCTTTATCATCGGGGCCAGGCAAAGACGGTGTGGATCGGTCATCTTCCGGCACCGCGGTCATATCGTCTAAGAACGTCGTCAGCTCATTTAAAGGCTCCAGTTCAAGATCTAGAATACTAATGTCCGGTATTGTAGGCTCGTCTGTCTTGGAGCTTGTAGTGGCGGCTTCTTCAGCCTCCGCGAATTTGAGCGCGAGAGCCCTGGCATCCCTCAATTTCTTCTCAGCCAGGCGCATTTGCCTCTGCTGGGGCGTTTCTTTGAGAGGCATCTTTGGGATTGGCAGAGGAGGCTGTGATATGGAGTTTGCAGTTTTGAGCTCGTCCTGGTTGCTGCTCTGATTGTCAGACTCGTCTCTCGGCGTCCTCTTGCAGCTGGTTTGGGGGTCGGAACCTCAACAGTAGTTTTGTTGTACGCTCGGGAAATTGCTTCGAGATTAAGGAATTGGTACTCAGTATCGATCTTGGCGGCCTTCTCTAACCAAGTCGATCAGACTGCTCGTCGGAGTTTTGCCTTCTCAAGACGACCACCGATCAGGTCCCATGCAAGATGAGAGATCAACAGAAGCGATTAGGAACGACGTAGACACCTTAGATCGTATGTCTATCAGAGAATGATAAATATGGTCTTGATGCTGCTGAAGGCGAGTATCTTTACCGTATTCTAATTGGGCAAGCGTGGTAATGAGACATGTCACTCCGTGATCAAGCAAGAAAGAGAAAGTAGGAGATAGACAAGTGTGCAAGAACTTCGTCTGGGATCCAGCTTCACAAAACCTTTGAGAGAAGAGAAAGAACGCGCATTGTCAGGCTACTTTACCACAGCCACGACTCATCTGAGCTTCTGCTGGGACTTCTGTTTCCGTCGAAGGAGGATATTCAGCCGAGCTTCAAGAGCTTCGTCTCCAAGGGCAGTCTCGTGAGCTCTTTCTTCACAAGACAATGGATACATAAAATGATCACCGCGGTCGCCAATCACAAATGAGCAGTGCAGGAGATGCACTGTGCGGGAGCCGGCATAGTTGCCGCTTGCAGCAGCTTTCGCACCATGGAGACAAAGAAGAGAGTGCTGAAAGGAAGCTTTAGACTACCAAGCTTTTCCCGATGCAATGAGCTCGGTTTGCTGAATTGAAATTGGAGAAGACAGATGACAAAGAAAGGCCGTGACAGCTTGGCTTCACCTGCACCCAACCTCCTGCTGACAAGTGAGAGTAATGGCCACCCTGACTCAATAGACACGAAACGGGTCAATTGATGGGACATCCAGGGACGGATCATCAATTGATTGAGCAAGGGCACCAATTGGGATTATTGAGCACCATAGTCTGTCGACGGAATTACGATATGAATCCAAGTCCCTAGGCTGGCAGCTCGCAAGGGACAGCAAGGTACCTGGACAGCAATGCCATGGGTAAGATGCCTCTCCTTGAGACCATCGTAGCCGACTAGACTCTGCAGCAGGTAAGACCGCGGTCAAAGAATCCAATCTGCCAAGCCAAACGCTTCTCCTCGAGGGAGCAACATTGTGCCCTCTGGGAAATATTGAACAAGAGCATGCAAATAAATCCACCAGCTAACTAGGCGACAGTATGAATGCTCAATCGTCAGCGGGCCGATAATTCTCGAGATCGAAGACATATTCATCGAGGGAAGGAATGCAAAGGGAGCAGCCAGGTGAAGTGCCACCAAAGCCACGGCTTGCGCGAGGCGCTTGAACCGTTGAATGGGGGAAAAGCCACAGCAACATTCGTGAGAATTCCAAGAAAATTTCAACGCCCAGGTCAGCGATGTAGACCAACAGACAGGTCAGAGCAGCAGAGATCACGCAACCGTCGGAAATGCGCAGTGTAGCAGGAGCAACGTCCGGTCCTCCTGCGGCCATGACCCCTTCAGCAGCCCAACCGAACCGCCAGAACAAAGGACTCTGCAGCAATCAAGCCTCAGTTTCAAATGAGCAGTGGGGTCGGTTTCGGGCTTCCTTTCTCTTCTCTTCTCTGTCTTCTTTGTCTCGGCACCCCTGGAATTCGCTCATCTCGAACGGTGGTAATTAAGCCTTTCCCCCCTCCTCCCCAAACGCGTCAGTCAGCAATTAGCCGTGCTGCTGCTAAAGAATAGGGAAGAAGATCGCCGTGTCAGTCGAGCTGAGAATGCGAGCGCGACGTGCGCGGAGGTGCCGCAGACACGCAGGCCTCGCAGGGTATGTCAGGGTTGGCGTTATCAACCCGCGCGGGCTTAATTGAGCGAGATGGCAGCCCGTATCCCTTGCGTCAAGAGACCTAGCAAGCATCTTCCTAGCTCCCATACGAAGGCAAGACGCAGGAGACAGAGGGCAAGTAAGCGGGGAGGAGGTGGAGCGATTGGAGCGACTTTTAATTAGCGAATGCACCCCGTTAGGAATGAAGGGACGCGGACGGTTTGGTTGGTTGGTGGGCGTTGGCGGACCTGGCCAGAGATACTGGGCTCAGCCAGCCACTGCGAGCTGGAGAAGCGCCGAGTCATGCGAGCCTGGCCTTGGCCACGGCATGGCACTTCCGTTTGAATATGAATTATCTCTGAAGGAGAAGAGAGATTGAATGGATTTCGAATGAGTGGGAAGTAGTAGTGGCTGAAAGTGTTATTGAAATCCAACTTGCGTGAATTCTTCTGGAGGCAGTCAGGCTGCTTCATAACCAGACATGACTAGGCAGTATCCAATATGGATGATTAGGTAGCATTGAAAATGTCACAAACATTATCATATCACTTCAGAATGTTGAAACCAAGAAAGTTTGTCAAGAGACTTTTACTCTTTTTTTGTCTGTTTACAGCTACCTCAGCTATGCCGGGGACTAGGGGGTATTGGGAGCGTTGAGTGCTAGAAACAATATCGAAGACGTATTATCATCGCATGTTGTTCCTCGAACAACTATCGGAAGACCACGCTGTCGCTGGTCCTCGTAGACATCGCACATAGCACATGCCTCCATCCAAAGATCCTACAAATCGAGGCGGTCGGGCTCACCGGCCATCGATCTTCCAGTCCACCGACCCCGCAAGTCTTTGCGAGAGAATTACTTTTCCAAACGTGCGACATTTGCGTGGGCAGTTGTAAGGTTTAGCCTCGGCCAAGCGACGACGAAACCCAAAATCCTCTCTCGCTTCCAGTCATCGAAAGTGTGATGTGTATGTGTATGTTGGTGTGTGTGGCTTCTTGTTTCCTCCGCGTGGTGGTGACCAATCTTTATCCCAAGCCCTTTCTTTTGCCCGCTCTTTTCTAGTTCCTCCAAACGCAAAATAAAATAATCGGTCTTTCTCTCCATTGCCCTTTGCCTCACGTCGGAGAAATCAAATTTGGGGCGCTCGCTTCTCTCTTGCTCCTCATTTTTTTTGGGTGTCGTCGTCGAAGAAACATAACGTAGACGTTGCGATGAAAAAAACTGACGTTTGGGGGGGTATGACAGCTCCGGTGATCCCCGTTGCGGAATTCGGGGGGCCCAGGACGCTGGTAAACAAATCCATTCAAAGTATGGCCTGCCGAATCGAAAGGGTGGGGGGGTGTTGCGCATTCGATAAAGATTTTAAACAGAAAAAACAAAACAGATTCGCTAATGCCATGATCGCTGATAGTACCAAAAATCCTGTATGCCAGATGCAAGCAATCTTCTTTTACTTTTCCTCATCCAATGATACACTCGGAATGCCGGAGACGCGGTAAAAGGGGGCTTCCTTTCTGGAGAAAGCCGGAAACGGACAACTAGGAGACGCTCCTGACCATGAACCCTTTGAGGTTCCGGTCCAAGGACAAGTCCCTTACTGACCGACCATGTGGCTGGTCGAACCATCAAAGTATGTTGCGTATTGTGCGACATGCTGTTGTTGTGACGGGTAGCCAGCAACATGGGGTTGTGGTGAGGGGGTCACGGGGCACCGTGGTGGTACCTGGTAATCCTTGACGGCACCGTTCACGCCGAAGCATGCCCCGTCTGGGGTAATGGGAGGGGTGAGGTAGCCGTCGGCAACACCTGGTACAGCACCGTGACCCTTCTGGGGTGTGCTGTAGATGTTGGCGTGCTTGGTGGTGAGAGCAGGCTCAGTGGGAGGAGATGGTGGGCCTGCTTGTCGTCGAGTGATGGCAGCTTGTTGTGCCAGGAAGTCGGCAAGCTTGCCTGATACCCTGGAAAACTGAGGCGAAGAGTACTTGCGTGACAGGGTAACGGATGGTTGGTGCAGATTTTGAGAAAGCGTTAGCAGAGTGACGTTCTCAACGTGATCCCACTCTCCATCATTAACTTCGGGTCTGGCCAAGATGGCACGGGCGAGGGCCAGCGAGGAGCGGGCCATCGTGGATGGCTTGGTCGAAACGAAGTCTCGGTGGTACAGGGCGATCTCGCAGATGTAGGCAGCCATGTGCTCGACTTCTCGGTCGTCTCGTTCCTCGGCGACGATGAGTTGAGTGAAGAAGTCGACGGTTGGGTGGCCGATGTTCCACTCAAGAGTGTTGAGGACGTGCATCTCCATCTGCGTGAACATGCCTGCATCGTAAAGGCCGCAGCACATATTGTTCAACTCGTTGATTTGCGGTACCCGGTCCTTCTTGTCACCATACTTGGCGGCGATCAGCAGGGCTGCGCAGCCGACGAGCTGGTAGTGCTGCTTGTAGACCACTCGCTTAGAGCAGTATCTATCAAGAAGGTTTACTGTTAGAAACAGTGTCTCTGGTAGTAATGAGAAAGCCGCGTGTGCCTCGATGAGGAAATCAATGAGGTAGGGTCTCATGAACCACTGGATCTCACGCTGCATGTCAATGAGATTAGCGTCGGGCAAAGTCTCATCCTAGTACGTGTGAGTTAGTGAGTGATGCTAGGACGAGGTGTGAATGATTCGAACCTCCATATGCCTCATGTGCTGCATAATGTCCTCAAGGTATTCGTCGCACGCTAGCCGTGAGAGTTCGTTGGCGATCATCTCTTGCTTGTTGCGAGCAAGCATCTTTGCGGCGTCTCGTGAGTTGAGGCGAGGGAAGCTGGGCTCTTCCGCCTCGACGAAGAAGGTGCTGTCTGGCTGAGTTGAGAAGGCCATCTTGAGAAACAATTGAGGCTGAGGGTGAAGATCCTATTTGAGCGTGACGTAGGGGCGGAACAGGTATCGGCGCTCGATAGTGGTTGTAAATGAGTGGTAAGTTCCCCAGGAAACTTGTAAGATCGTCGGTGTGGTGACTGAAACGAGAGTGTCGGTCTGAATTACTCTGTTACGAGTGAAGGAGTGTGTATTACTTTCGTCGGATACAAATCGACTATTATTAGAATTAAGGAGTGTGATGAATATCAGTGATATGAAAATGAGTGACAATGGCTGGCGCCAAGTGGATGTAGAAAACCGAGTTCCAAGAAATGGTGAGAGTGAAGTGGCCGGGAGGTCGGCCGTTTAAAATGGATATCGACTGTAGGACTCTATACACCAAGAATGAATCAGCCTCAGCAGTTCTTCACCTCGCGAGCGAGACACGATCTTCAAGACCCGCGCGATCTGAACCCACTCTCCCAGGGGCCGACGTGAGCTACGTCGGTGGCTCGACCGATCTGGTGCGGTAGGCGACGAGCTGGCACGAGGACCATGGGAGAGAAACGCCAGTCGAAATTGCTCCTTTGTACCAAACGGGCATAGGGGGCGTGCCAGTCGATGCCAGAGGAGCGGGTGGGCGGCGAGATGGGGGACGTGGGAGGTGGGAGCTAGTGATAGCTCGAGGGTAGGTATGTAGGAGGTGTGCTCTGGGGTGGAAGAGGGTTATCCCTTACCGCCACGGTGGTGCAGTGCCTGGCAAGACAGACGAAATGACACAATTCCTGAGGCAGGGTGGGAGCTACGAGTTAACGTGTCCCACAACGGCAAGCCTCGACGGAGCGGTCGAACTTGACAAGCGTGATCGTGAAGAGAGAGCCGCGGATGGCTAGCCAGGGATGATGAGGATTCCCGTCGGCATGCAACTGTAAGGGCAGACGTGGCACAATTTTAGATTCTCGAGCCTTTCTCATGAAATTTCATCCCGGGACTGGTCTGAAATTGGGGGCACAGTCCGGCCGAAACGGACGATTAGACATACCTCTACTATCAACGCCTTGAAAAGGTTGAAGCCTTCACAGTGATCGAGATCATGTAGCGCTACGTTTCTTTTGTGGTTTTTTGGATTATTCCCCAGAACTAAAAGATGACACGAACGAATGTCGGTCCCGTCAAGAAAGAAGTTCCCAACGATCTTTTTTGTGGTCTATAGCGAAAACCCCCGTTGCTGGTGAGATCCTGTCGACCTGACTTTTGATTCCTTCCACCGTCGACCCGCGAGCGAAGGGCGTCTCGTTGGCGGCAGTGGTGGGTTGAGGAGGAATGGAGAGAGGTGTCGGGCGGGAACGAAGGGATCCGCGGGTGGGGACAGATTAGGGAGATTCCTCGTCGTCGGACCGCAGGAATGCCAGAGGACTGGAAAGAGGAACGGTTCCTTTGGGGGATTGGATTGGGAGCTTCAAAAAGGGAAAAAGGGCTCAATTGGAATTGAACCTTTGATTCTTTCTCCGCAAATAGGCTCTTTCTTAATCCCACACACACGGTCCGGTCTTCACCTCGGTCGTGGCCGGTCCCTTTTTATATGGACGGGGAGGGGGCGGAATGGCTTGTCGGGGTGCCCAGCTGGGTCCTATTGATTATCTCCTCCTTCCCTCCGTTTCTCTTGTGAAGAAAGGGAGATGACGTCTGGAAGGAATAGTTCGGGGGAGAGAATGAATGGACAGGAGGAGGGAAAGGGAAGGGGAGGAGGAGATAGATATTGGGGAGAGGAGGTTAGAATGTAGGAGGAGGATGGAGAGAGGGAAAAGGGATTGGAAGAGATCCAATGGGCTAAGCTGTGCAGTTTTAAGACATGGGCAGACAAGACCAGACCCCCCAGGCCCGGGCTCCATTGGGTGTGTGGTGCTAGGTGCTTGCCCACTAACTAACTCGAGAGAGGTGTGTGGTGTGTGTGTGAGAGAGAGAGGGAGCGAGAGGTGTGCTTGGTGCTGCTGTGCCAGGGCATGGGTGTAAGTATGGATATGGATATGGGTATGGCCATGGGCATGGGCATGGACATGGGTATGAGATGGGGGATGGGGTTATGGGTCGGGATAGATGATGTTCAGGTACTCCACGCAAAAGCAACGCGCAGCGCAGCCAACAACCTTGTGAAAGTGGGCAAAGGCAGGTCCTCCATCCTCCATCTCCTCCACTGCCTGCTGCTGCTGCTACTGCTATTACTACTGCTGCAAGTATCAAAGAGTACGTATCTATCTCACTTAACTAAACAAAACACCATCACCACTTACCACCCCGGCAAGCCAAGCACAAGAGAGAAGCGGACAACAAGGCCAGCACACACGCCCCGGCCCTGGCTGCTCCTTCTCCTCACCACCTCCTAAGCCAGCCAGCCGATCCATCCACCCATCACAATTCATACAGTACACACCCCGGCAGACCGGTACGAAGACGGGGATGCGCGTGTGTAGTGCATGCAGTGCGAGCAACTTCCATGGTGAGGCAGGTTTGTACTGCGGTATTGTGAAAGACACTGACTCCTACGCTGTCCGTCCGTATGTCGAGTATTCGCGCCACGACCCGCGGGTGGAAGACCTCTCTGTCCTCTGCACCGTACCACGTCGTCCCCCTGATATCTCAGGCAAGTAGCTCACGTAGCAGCCGAATGGTCGTCGTCGTCTTTGGTCGTGGAGATGGCCCCCGAGCCTGGAGCACCTGGAGCACCAAGCAGAGCTGCGACCGGCCAATACTACGGCCCAGGACACACGGCGGCCACTCATCCACGTCGACGCCCCCAAGACCAGACGAGAGGAGCAAGATTGTGCGGTGCGGCCTTGTTCCCTCGGCTGGGAAATTCAGGCCGGGCTGTGTGAGGGCAGGGATCTACAGGTGCTAGGCTTGCAAGGCCTTGCTGGGTGCTTGGGGAGGCGTCAGACTAATCCGTCCAGTCGCTGGCCGAGATTGAAGGCCGCTCTTGCAGCAGTACTATGCAGTAGGAACACGGCGTGGGTCGAGTCTCCTCACTTCTCTTACGCTTGCTTGCTTGCTTCGCTCTCGTCGACGGGTGACACGGTACGGTACCAAATTTGCTGCAGCGACAAAGCGTCGCCGTCCGTTGCGTTACTTAGATGGCCCTGCCGATGCAGTAACGGCACGGCTTTTTTCTTCTCCCTCCTCAACCTAGGACGACAGAACAGTAGTTTCATCGTACCAGAGTGGAATCAGTGGGTTCGAAGCCGATGCAAATGACTGAAAAGGAGCACAGTGCCTTCGACTACCGACTGCACCTTTCCAGACCTGGCCGTATCGTCCTCGACGACTCCACGATGACGGACGGTTACGGTTTGGGTGAGGGCATAGTGTGATGCTTTTTGCTTTTTCGATATGTCCTCTTTGGGTAAGTCAGGTCAGGTACTTTAAGATCTCGCGACACCAGCGCGTTGCAAATCGTTCATTTGGCTTGCGTTTGTCTTGTATTGCCTTGTCTTTTGCTCCGTCCCGCCCCGTACTTAGCTTAAGTACTTTGGTCCAGTAAAGCTAGGTAAGATACAGAGAGAGATGGCGTTCTGACTACTCTAGCGGCCCCCATCCGGGTAAGCACTGGATACAAAGCAGGCTGAATTCCTGGCGATGATCTTTCAGCGCCTCCTTGTGCTTCGTTTTAAGTGGCTGCAGCAGTCTGACTCCCGTGTGTTTCGAAGTGAGGAGGGCAGTTGGTTGATTATTTGTTGTTCGAAAAAGATAGACATGAATGAATGAATCTGTTTGTTTTGCACGTGCATGAATGAGGAGATGAGTAGTGCGGCCTCGCCCGAGAAGGCCCCCTTTTGTTGACTTGATGCTTCTGTAGCTAGCGTTTTCCTGTCATCTATCATTTCTTGTCACGCTCGTGACCGAGGATCTCGAGATGGCCAGTATCCGCACCGGCCTGCAGCAGAGGACCCGGAGGCTGGACACTTGAGTAACTCCATCATCAGCGTCATAGGTGGGGGAGAATACTTCTCAAGTTGCTCGGCGTAGATCCACTAGACGAGCATAAGGCCAGCTGCATGAAATAATTGTGTGCTAGGCTATTGGCGTGTCAGGTTGGTTTTTTTTTGTCTGGGTTCCTGGCTTTGAATGGCATTGTGGTACGAGTGGGCTTCTTTTGGCGTACCAAGTGCAGTGCCGTGCATTGTCGACATAAAATTGACACTTTTCTATTCAATCTGAATGATGCTATTTCAAGCAGGCGGCTCAAAATACCAGCTTCCGTCCCCTGGACCTTCATGCCTCCGATTCGAGATCTGGTAAAATGACCATCTTGTGTCTGCCATTAGACCCATCTTGGCCATAGTGCTGCATGGTAGAGCTGTTTATTTATTGCCTTAAGTAAACACTAGAGTATTTGTTCATCGAGCATAGCATAACATAGACTGAATAAGCAAGGTACAGCACGCACGCACACTACAGTACCACCGAGCTTGGACGCCGATGCCCCAAGCCGTGTGAGCTCTGCAAATTGCAACTCTTGAGAGAGCCCCTTCAAAAATTCGGCGTCTCCTTTCTGACTACTCTATCAGCCGCTAATGCGCGCCGTGTCACGCCTCCTCTCATCCTTCACAGCGGTCCTCCATGTCAATCGCGATCGCCCTCTAGAAAGGACTGGCTGGTGCCTCGGGGCACGGAACGCTGGGAAGAGTATGGAGAAGGTAGCATCTGGACGGACAGGTTACGCCTTAGCCTGGTCCACCAGACGCGTCTAATGAGGCAGCTTGTGTGGTGGTTGTCTCGTACCAGGACAGGACCTTGCAAAGTGGGAGGAGGCGGAGACAGGCTGGGCAGAGCAAGATGATGGTGTATGGTGTCTCCTCACTGCGTTCGGTGCTCGACTGTACTGTATGGGGAGAGGCGTGCGTGGGTATCGTTTCCTCGGAGCAGCCATTGAGTTTAGTGCTGCTTCAGGTCCAAGGAAAAGGCTGGATGGGCGGGCTGGCGACTGGTGCTTCTAAGCCGCGACCTGCATTGGATCCGAAGCGCCA